AAATTATAAACTAAAAGTGGAACAGTAAAATTATTAATTTTAACGAATAGGCTTATTATGTAGCCCCTGAAGTACTGGATGGATTATATGATCATAAATGTGATGTTTGGTCTGCAGGAGTTGTTTTATATGTTATTTTATGTGGTTATCCACCATTTTATGGAGAGAATGAAAAAGAAATATTAATAGAAATTAAATCTGGAACATTATAATTTGAAGGTTATAAAATATATAATATGTAGGTGATGAATGGTAAGGAATCTCATAAGAAATCAAAGATTTTATAAAATAATAAGTATGTCCAGCACCTAATAGAGTTATACCTAAAGATTTGTTAAGTCATAAATTAATAAATTAATACAATTAAAAGTTTCTGAATGATTTTAAGATGATTTCAATGTAAAATCTTAATTAATGGATTAAATATCATCCATTAAGAAGATTAGCACTTTATTATTTATCAACATAGATTGATTCATGTGATTTAGTCAATTAAAAGAATACTTTCTTTTTCATTAATTAATCATAAAGTGGATTGATAACACAATAAGAATTAGCTACTTATTTGAAAGTTAATAAATAAGATATTCAAAAATTATGGCCATATATAGATTGTAATAGTAATGGTTATTTGGATTATTTTGAATTTGTAGCATTAACATTAACGCCATAAGATTATCAAAAATAATTATAATTTATGTTTGATTTTCTAAGTTAATCTGATAAAGTAATAACATAAAAAAGTATTAAATTTATTTTTGATTAAAATGCTAATTTAAATAATAAATGGGATAGTATTTCAAATACAAAAAATCAAATTGCTTAAGTAAATCAACATGAATAATAAATAAATGTTAAAAACATTATTGATAAAGATATCGATTTTAACGCATTCAAAACAATAATGGGATGATTCAATAGAATATATATAAAATATATTAATTACAATTTTTGTAATCAAACAATGGAAGCTTATAGATTCCATGTCCTTTATTTTTTTTTTTAATTACTTTCATAATCTAATATTATAAATATTATATTTACTTGTTATATACTTTTTTACCTACACAACAAAGTAAATGATGACTCCTAAGAATATAGTTTCAATTATAGCTTAAACCATCATTAAAGTTCCTTAATACAATTATCCACAAACAATTTCTTATTTTTAATCATCAGTAATTTCAGTTGGTGTTGGTTATTATGTTGTATTTTCCTATAATAATCGAGTTTTAGATAAAATATTATATTGTTATGCATATCCTTGCATTAAAGCCCATACTAAAAAGTAAGTAATTAATCGTATAGCTAAGACAACTGATGTTAAACACAGGTATTTTCCAATTTCGGAAGATGATCTTGAATTGATACCAAGAAATCCATAGGTTGAACTAGCAATCCAGAATATGTTTCCACCTACTATAACTAAGCACAATATTGCATATGTATAACATATTGTTCGATAATGAATGAAATAGTATAGAAATCTTATGCACTAATATATAAATGCACACTAAAGATAATGGATAGTTAAATTACGATTATGAATATATTTGAACTTTGTAAAAATCTAATTTTATCTTCTATAGCTTCATTGAATTCTTCACATTCAGGAGGCAACAAAGAATCACCTTATCGCTTTGTAATAATGAAAGGTTTATTAATTTCCATTCCAGGATTTGAATCAAAAAAATATTAATATATATATATATATTTATTTAGATGAATCAATTGAGAAATTAGAGAGGTACAGAGACAGATGAAGTATACATTGATCCAGAGAGAGGAATAGCTATTAATGCTCGTTAAATGACCACTGAATAACATTTCAAATATTATAAATCATCATTCAGTACATTAAGACCTGATTTGACTGAATATGAGTATGAAGCATTTGCTAAGAGATTGAGAGTGGGTATTTGACAATTTATTATAAAGGTGAGTCTTTCTTGAATCATATGAGAGTATTTCTTAATCATGAATCAGGTAGGATCACAAATCTTTATAATTTAAGTGCTAGATTGGATAAAGCTCTGGTATTTGATGCATTACTATAATCAAGAACTATTAATAATAATATTTCCATTTGCGTACTCCTTTTATTTTGGGCCATAGATCAAATGCAAATAGAAATTGGGCTGATGCATCAAAAGTTGTGAATTATGTTGAGAAACAATTATTAAAAATAACAAAATATGGTAATTATATAAATTCTAAATGTTTTAGGTTTGGATTATCCTAATTATTATGCACCTTCAACAGCATAAGAATTGAAATAAAGAGAAGATGAAATTTATTAGAGATTCATAAAAGAAATGAGAAAACCTCCCATCGTTGCAGTTTAATGAAAATTATACATATAAATAATAATATATTATTGTTAAAATCTTTTTTACTAATGCATATATAATTATTCCTTATCTATCAATAAAATCATACATTCAATTCTGATTGCTTATTAGTGTGTTACATTCTATTAATTTTTGTCAATATATCTAAATAAAAAAAGATATGGATTTATTAAAATTAATATATAAATGTCTGAAACTATAATATTTTATTATCTTTTAAGTTATTAATTATGAATAAGTCAGATAAATACTTTGTGCTTGAAGATGATATCTCTAGTACCCAAAGTTCTGAAGGAGAAGACTATATTCCTAAAAGAACAATTTCTAAATCAAACACTCGAAGGATTCACAAAATCCCAATAGAGTAGCAAAAATTACTATTTCGACAAGTGTTTCAGGAAGGCAAACCAATTAAAGAGGTATTCTTTTACATAATATAATCAGGTTGCCAAAACTTTGAATCTAAATTACTCTAGTGCTAAATCTCTAATTCATTATTATAAAAATAATAAACGATCTGCTCCCTCAGCAGTATTAGATGTTTTAAGTGGTAAAAAATCGTTGGTGTGTCGAGTTTCATAAAAAATTGATAAAAAATACAATAATCTAAAAATAGAAGTCAGGCAAAAAAATTAAATTCTTCACTCCTACAATTACTATGAACATAAGACAACTAATAAATGAATTATAAATAAAAATTATATTCTTTATTACGTTAGATCTTTTCCTTTGTCTTAATTAGGATTTCTAATTAAATAATTTTATACATTAAATTAATATCTAAATATTGATTGTAAATAATCCAATTTATTAATGGTCTTGTTCCCTTTAATACTATACCTATATCTAAAAGACAAGATAATAAAATCAATAAATTGTATTTAATTTTTATATATAATCATTAAATTAATATAATTTTGTATCCATAGCTTAGTAAAATGGTTTCCTCATCTATATCTTTCAAAAACTGATGTCTTGATATCATTGAGATCTTATCCTTCCAAATTTATCTAAAATATAAATAATCTAATTTTCTCTACAATTCTTCATGTTAAAAAGATTTTAAAACAGTAAAATTATTTATGAAAATTTTCATTAATTCTAGTAAAATTCTTGATTTGTTATTGGTATATAGATTAATGATTTATTCTTTCAACAGTATTCATATTATTTTTCATTTTTTTATCTTAATTTCATGTTTATATTGAATATAATATTTCAAGATATCCTTCACTAAATGTCTTATTATTTGATTTAATTTTCATAATTCTTCATCAAATAAAGTTATTTTTAAATAATAAATTCTCTTATCAATAAAAATCAATTATTTTTTTGAAAATCAAACTATTCAAATTCTAGGATATATTATTTACCTTCATTATTAAAATTTCAAATATCATTATGAAATTAATAAAGATTAATTTCGTGAACATCAGGTAATTATTTAAATAAACCCAAATGTTTTCCACTTTCTATTTAAAATTTTATATATATATATTTGCTTTAAAAATGATGGTTGCATTTTATAAATTAGTGTGTATCATCATATGTCTTAGATTTTTATTGCTTAATAATATTTTCTAATTAAAAAGGTCTGAATTTAAATGGGTAATAATCATCTGTTTATAAATATGAAATCCCTTTGTCATTTTGAAATATCAGAAATTAAGTCAAATATTAAAACATTTATTAGTTTTAGTCCAAATATATATTTATATTATCTTATCTTATTTTATTAAGTTACAGATATCCTTTTTTTATTAGTCTTTTATTTATTAATTTTATAAAGTGATGTATAATTTATATTAATAAAGATGAAATTATTGTATTTGATTTCTTTAATATATATGGGACATGGCTTATCTGTATAGATTAGTTAAAAACCTACATGCTTTTATGTTAAATCATATACAGGAGATACTTATGTTACAGTAAATTATTAGATATCTGGATTGGATGAAAATAAAACAGAAATTACAATAGAATCAGAAAATGGTGATAAATTAGTAAAGAAATAAAATACAAAAGAAGGAGCACTTAAATAATTGTTAAGAGAAAAGGGCACTTATTATATTTGTTTCAAAAGTTTATCTAAAGGTTATAAGACTGTAAGTTTTGATTTTGATATGGATGGAGTAGATAAAGAATATGCTTAATCAGAATAATTCAGTGAGATGTCAAAGGAATTATCAAGAACTAATAGAAACTTTTAGACAATTTATAGAAATTAAAACTGGATTTCTGACAGAGAGAATGCTCATTAAATGTGTAAAATATTATAATTAAAGTAGTGTTGGAATAAACATAATAAAATGTTAAATGGTGTGCTTCAGCAAAAATAGGAATTTTATTAATAATAGCTATAACTTAGATATGTGTTGTATATTATTTTTTTAAAGATAAAGATTTTAGTGGAAGAGTATGATAATTATATTATTGATAGATAAATAGATATATTTACTTTTTCTTTTAAACAATTTTATTAGATTATTAATATTACTAAAAAACTTTTTGTTATTATTAATTTTGTCTTGTATAAGCAGTAGTATATTATTATTTGTTAGTTTTTAATTATTATTTTGGAAAGGGTTTATCATTTCCAACTAATCCTTATTGTAATTTATAAAGCATATATTAATATTCTCCATGTCAAAATATTAAAGACTTTACTAAGTTGTAATCAATACATTCCATATTCTTCTGGGTCTTGAAGTACAAACTCTAATCTTTATCATTCACAATTTTCACAACCAATATTAAATTTTTTGCTTAATTATTATTTCTGTTATTATATTAAGAATTTATTATTTAAAATAGTATAGTGAATTATATTAAATGAATAATTGGAAATTATAAAATAAATTAACTAAATAGATAACCACAAAGCATTTGCTTTTTGAACCTTTTCTGCTACATTTTGATTTCTATTCTGCACAATAATAAGCAATCTTATTATAATGTATTTTTATAAATAAATTACATTATTCAGTGTTTCTAAAGCCTGTTAATATCTTTAATCTAAAAACTTCCTAGAACCAACTGCTAGTCAATATTTTTATACGCCTTCCCTTATTTACTACTCATTCATAGCTATATAGTTGAAGAATTATTATTATTTTATTAATATTTAACATCAATTTTATTTTACAAATACAAATTATGATGAAACTATTTGATTTTTGAATCTAATTAATGATTTATTTACTTTCAAATATAATGGCATTAAATATTGAGTATTTATTAAAAATATCAAATAGAATTACTAGAACAATTTTAAATAATTAAACTAAACATTAAATCTATTAAATCCAGTATAAGAGTTGATTCAATATAAAAATAAGTAATAATCTTTCATTTTTTAGTTCAAAAATTAAAAAGATGTAATTATTATTGGAATAACAATATGAAAATTTAAATTTATAGTAATTCCACAAAAATACATAATTCAAAATATTTAACTCTTTATGATAATATTTACATTCTGCTGTTTTTCATATTTCAGAAATATATATATAGTATAAAAAATCAGATAGATATTTAATTTGTATTTTTATTTTTATGAAAATCTTTATTTTATAAATATATAAATAAAAATATAATGATACAAAATGATGCATTTTGCCAAGAACATAATGATTATATGATCGAAGTAGTTTGTGTTGATTATATGACTTAAGAATGTAAATATATGTGTAAAAAGTGTTATAAGTTATTTAATAAGTCTAATACAGAATCAAAGGAGTAAGAATTTTAAATAAAATAAAAATAATTTAGGCAAAATTATGAGACGGAAAAAGCAAACCTGAATAAGTAATTTTAACAAAAAATTGAATCATTATAGAAGGAACTTAATTAAGAAATTTAATAACATTTGGAAAAAATCAAGGATTCTTTTTCTAAATCATTAAAATTAATTGAAGAGTTTGAGCCTTAATTATAAACTAAAGATAAAAATAAACTTCGAGATATATTAAAGGAATAGTAAAAAAAAATGAATGAAATCAGAATTAATTCTATAAACGAAAAGGCAAGTTATTTACATGAGTTAAAGAATAAGCTTATTGATAAGGCTCTTAATTTAGAAAATTATATATTTTCAGAACATCTCCTGGGATAATAATTATATCAAATTCCAAATCTTAAATAAATATTTGAAAATTTTGATTCAAATAATTTATTATTGTCATTTGAGCTGCATTACCATCTAAAATATCAATATATTACTGAAGAAGATATTGTAAAAAGGCTATAATAATATTCATCAGAGTTGGAAACATTAGATGAGAGCAATAAGGAAATGAAGAAAAATATAGATGCATAATATAAAAAAATAGAATAAGAATTAGAAAAATAAAAGTAATCAATGTTAGCTCGATTTAGAAAATATCAGGTTTGGATAGATGAAAAAAATAAGAAAATTAATGAAACTAGTAAATTGAATAAAGAAAATTACACCGAAATTTAAATGATTAAAAATGAAGATTTCATAAATTTAATAAATAATGAATTAGCAAATATGTAGTTAAAGAATTAACATGATGAAATGAGAGAAACTTTAAGCAAAATTTGCCATCTTGGTCATTATGATATTGGAGTAAGCTTAAAAGAAATAGAAAGTAAATTTATGGTCAAATTTATTCCAAAAACAATATTATACAATATAGATCGTATGGAAAATAATATAACTTCATACTATCCTTAAGCAACATAAATGATAGGAAATTTGAATGAAAATGGAAATGTAATCAATATTTTTATATTTAGTTTGTGGGAACTGCTATTATATAAGAAAATAATTAATAAACTTTAGTTAATTTATCTAATAATGAAACACAAATAGGAAGTTCTGTTTCGGAAATCTAAAATAGAGGTCTGTTTAATTTTGATTTATTAACATTTTTCCCATAGAGTAATAACTTATTTAGTTATAAATGTAAAATAGAAAGTGCAGAAGAATCATATAAAGATAATTAGGATTAATGGGAACTTATAAAATCTTAAAATAATAGAGTTAAAAAGTATACTTTTATTGTTTATCGAAATAAATAAAAAACTATTGAATTTAGAGATATTGTGATAAATTAATAAGGAAGAATAGATGAAAATAATAATGTCGAAGTGATCTATTCTGATTAGAATCATAAATATGAAGGTTAGATAAATAATAGTTTTAAATATTTTGGTAAAGGAAAGTTAACATAAAATGGAATTATTAAAGATGGAATGTGGAGAGATGGTCTACTTGAAGGGGAAGGAAATATTATAGAAAATGATAAAAAAATATATTTTGGATCTTTTAAAGATGGATTAAAACATGGATAAGGAACAGAATTTTTGATTTCAGACTTTTAGTATTAAATTCTTTTATTTTAGTTATCAGGGTCAATTTGAAAAAGATGTAAAACATGGTTAAGGTAAAATTTTAAAAAAAGTGGGTAATGAATTTTTAACAATTGAAGAAAATGTTATATGGAAAAATGGTTAATCTTAAAGTGATGTTTGCAATATATATTGAATTATTTTCAATAAATAAATATATAAATTATTTAAAAAATAAATAAATACTATTACATACAATTAAATTATTATATTAATTGCAAATTAATCTTTCATTTCATTTTTAGTTTTATTTCTATTTTTATTCAGATTTCTGTTAAAAAAATGAATTTCAAGATAAAAATTGAATTATTTATTAATAGTATCACTTCTTTATTAGAAATAAGTAATACATATATTTTAAATTAAATTTCTTTATTCAAAATATACTTTTTTATTATCATAAGATAATACTCAAAGACTAATCATTTTTTATTAAAAAATAAGGTCTTTTCATAGAATCTAATATGATGAGATTATTTTAATTCAAAAAATAAACTACTGTTTAATAGAATCCTCAGAATCTGTTTTATTATACAAAAATCATAAAATGGCTTTAAATTTAATAAAAGTTATTTTAAATATAATAATCTTAAGAACAAAAATTTAAGCATTCATATTAAAAACATTAAAAAAGCTATCAAATATTAATATAATATGAATTATACACATACTTTACTAAATCAATCTGAATCCTCTTCATCTTCCTGTTATACATCCCTTTACATAAATTATGAAACCCATTGTTCTGCCTACTCCTTGACTTTCTATATGGTTGCACTATCTCCATATTAGTTTTCATATTCTAATTATTTCTTAAATAAAAATTTGATCTTTCTAGGTTTCTTATTATTATGAATAGCCTTTTAAAATATTGATCTAACCACATCAGGTTAACAATATTTAATCACTAAATCTAAATATTATGACCATATATCAGTTCTAATTATTATTCAATTAAAATACCTTGTAGAATTTTTATCCAAAATAGTTTCATATGTAGTTTTTCCTTCTTCAATTTAATTATTCTAAAATTATAATCGTCCATAAAAGGCTAAGAGTTTTACTTGTTTTACTTTTTTCAAACACTACATAGCTCTATTCAATGTATCCTTAAAAGAATATTAAGGATTTTCATCATCGTGTACTTTCTACCATTCCATTAAACTTTATAGAAACTCCATCCAACTCTTACAACTTTATTTGTACTTTTAAACAAAAGACTATAAAGATTATATACATTTATATATACTCTTGACAATTCAACTGTTAGATCAACCTTTTCTGCCTTTCTGTAAATATTAATTAATTTTATATGAAGTTTCTTTCCATCACAATTTTAACAGCCTCTCTTAAAGACACTAATTAAATTATCTTCAGATCCAAAATTGAATTCCAAATTTAAATATGCTGTCCATAAATTCAATCTTTCTAATTCATTACTGAAATTGATAACTCTTAATGCTCTTTCAATAACATTTCTAGCACTCTCAATACCTTCATTTTCAGCAACATAAGCCACAAATTCAATCCAAATTACAGATGAATTAGGATTTGTTAATATTTTCCTAAATTATAATAAAATTTAATATTACTTCTCATATTCAGCTCTTGATTCTAAATTTTATACTTCCTCTCTAATTTCTTCTTAATCATTTTCTTCTTCTATCTCTTAATCTTTATGATTTTCTTCCTCTTCTGCTTCATCTTCATCTTCTTCGTTATCTTCTTCTTCATTTACATCTTATTAGATTTCCTCTTCAATTCCTTTATTTTAATTTTATTATTCTACTATAACATTATTTTTAATTTAATGTTATTTAACCATCTCTTCAAAACTCTCATACAAATCTATAACATCTTATTGAATATCTCCTAATTCAATTTTTCTCTTCCCTTCAGTATTAATCAATTCTTAAATATTGCTTAATCTTAGAACTGTCTAATTATTTTTATTCTGTCTTTATCCAATCACCAAACATTATATTTACTATCCAATCTTAAATAATTTATTTGCCCACCATCCATCTTCACCTTCCAATCCTTCAGCATCTTTCTTATCCAATTCTCCTTATTGAAGAGTACCTAAAATTTTAACTGCTGCTTTCTCATTTCTAATATTTACAATTAAACCTTATACTACATCTCCAATTCTTATTTATTTTTCATCTAATTTATATTTAAGCAAATTCAAATCTACTGTTCCTTATAATTTATCTAATTGAGTAATCATTAAAACTATTGGTCTATATTTAATATCAGTTTTGAAACCTCTAATTAAACAAGTTGTTTCATAATTTAATTTAACAAAAGTTCCATTATGTGTACTTCCTGTTACATATCCCATAACCACTTAACCTACAGACAAAGGAGTTTTTTTGTATAATTATGTTCTAACATCATATTTTAGAGATAGTATCATTTTTTAATAAGAAATTGTGTTACTTTTAACAGGATGTAAACATTTATTCCATAATTTATCATTTAGAAATGTTTCTCTGGCACTAGCCCAATAAACTTTATCTTTTCCTATTATTCTACAAATTCCCCACTTTCCTACTGGAAATTATTCAAATAAATTTAATTCCCATAATTCTTATAACTCTGTTATATCAATAGATGCAAATTATCTATTTTTTAATTAAACTCTTATATATGAATCATGATGACTTAGAATTCTATAGATTTACTTTGTATATAGAATTTCATATATATTCTATAATTATTATTGTAATTGATTCTCTTCAGTAATTATAATACCTTTCAATTATTTGTCAAATTCATATAATTTTACTTTAACTGGATGTCCTTATTGGATTTATGATTCTAAATTATTTAAAATTTCTGGATTTTCAACATTTATATCCCAACCATCAATAAAAATATTATAATTATAATAGATTTAAACAACTAAAGGTGATTTTGTGTCACTCTTAATATGTTTTATAATACCATAAACAATTTTATTACTGTCTTTTTAAATATCTTTTTCTAATTCAATATGATCTGATAAACAAGTCAAATCAAATATTTATTTATTATTTTCTTTGTTTTCTCCTATAATTTAAGCAGTTAATTGAGAACCTACATTTAGATTTTCGAATTCACTTTGTAATTTAAATAATCTATCCTCATTTCTATAACACTCAAATAAAGCCTTATGAATTCTACCAAATTTTCCATCTTTAAGATTCACATAAATAACATTATTCTTTATTGCACTAACAACACATTAAACTTTCTCTCCTAAACTTAATTTAGTTTTAACATTCTTTGTTAATACAACATTTTAAGTTTATCCTTCATTAATTTATTTCTATTTTGGATCTATTTTTTTTAAAGAAAGTAACAATTTATTTTCACTTTAATTTATGTACTTAACATATACTTTAATTATTTAACCATCTTTAATATCATCAGGGCTTTATCCATCGAGACTCTAATTAGACAGAAATCCAACAATATTCTAAAAGAATTTAACTAGAATTCCATTTTCTAATTTCTTAATTGTAAATCCATATAATGTATCACCTACATTAACTTCATCTAAAGTTTTAAATACTTTAATATCAGTTAATAATGTAGGTTTCATAGTTACTATTATATTATTATGTTATTCATCAATTTACAAAATTCTGACTCTTATTTTGCTACCTATTCTAAATTTAGGTGGATTAGTCAAAGGATAATCTGACATCTAGATAGATGGTAATATAGCATGAAAATTTTCATTTATATTTAATAATACACTATATGAATCCTCTTTCATTAAAATTTACTTAACTACACCTTTAACAATAGCACCTACATTTAAATCACTTAATTTAGGTTATGAATTGACTTCAAAAGATACAAAACCAACATGATCAAAATAATTTATTTCTTTTATAATGCAAGTTCTTTAGATGTGATCAATAATCTCCTAATCAGCAGGAATCTAAGTTTTGTTTAACATACAAATAGGTCCTAAATTAGGTTATTTAGCTTTTTGAGCTTTCTTGCTTTTTTTTGTCTATACTTAATCATCATTTAATATAGCATTAACAAGATAAGATCCAGAATATAATTGTTGATTAATGACAACTCCTTAATATTATTAACCAACTTAATATGGAGAAATGTAAATAGTATTATCTACATGTTCTTATTTACTTGAGAGGTAGATTTATCTAGAAGGTTCATCAAATCCAATTATTTTACATAAAATATTTTTATCTTGTTCAACTTAATAATCTTAGAATATATATCCTAATACACCAAATTTATTGAGTTTAACAATTTATCCACCTGTAATAGATTTTACATTATTACATTTCCAAATATTACCAGGAGTGAGTAGATATTTAGAGATCTATTTCTTATTTTATAATTAAACATCTCTTTATTCAAAATCACAAATAGCAATTTTCTCTTTTTAATTAATTTCTTTAATGTTAAAGAGATAAACTCTTCCACATTTAAGTTTTTTTTCATTAATAAACCCACTAAATTATTAAGATCCAAAATTAATTGTAGTTCCAAACTCATTCCAAGTTTAGGCTATACCTGATATTTACATTCCAATAACTAATTAATTTACACTTAATTGATCATTGATAACATTAGGATGCAAACTCAATTAAACTTTATTGTTCTTTTGTTCTTCTATAACTTTTGTTAATACATATTCTCCTATCCTGTAATCCCCTCCATTAACACCCTTTCTATCTCTAAGATTATGCTAATCCACAAACCCTTTTTTATTTCTAGTAAAATTAATAATTAAATAAGCTCCATTTGGACCTATAGATGAAACACATCCTAAATGCAAAGATCCTACATCAAAAGTCTAATAAATAAGCAAAATTAATCATACTTAATCAGGTATTTTTTATGTCATACTAAGTATTTTTTAGCTTTTCATTTAAAAATAACCCAATATATCTTAGTCTAAATCTCCTAATGCACCATAATCATCTTGATCCAAGATCGGTTACTTATTTTATGGAGCATCATCATCACTAGATATATACTCAGCTAATTAAGCTCTTCTTTAGAGTTGTTTTTTTTCTCTTAGTTTTTTCTTTTTTAGCTTGTCTTCTGTACCCTTTTCATTTTTATATGTAGGAGCTGGGTTAAACATGTATTTATCATCTTTCAGTGCATCAATCACTTTTTTTTTCATTAATTAAATTTTTAATAATTATGTAAACTGTTTAAGATAATTCATCGACAATAATTGCTCCTGTTATTGATGAAGCGTAAATCACAATAGGTACAGATGATAGATAATCCTAGTAATATATATTCCTTATTATTCTCTAGATAATTAATTCAAGTCCATCATCATGCTAACATGAAAAGAGTACCAATAACAGTTGTTTGTCCTTAATGTAAACAACAAGGAACAACTGTTATAATACGTGAGGTTGGAGCAGCAACAATAATGGTTGGTTATTTACTCTTCTTACTAACTACGTAAATTGAATTTTGATTAATATAGAATATTTTGTTTTTGGATTCCTTGCTGTGTAGATGAATGTCAAGATGCTATTCATTAATGTCCACACTGTAAAGCTGAAGTAGGCATAGGTCCCTATTAAATTCTTTGATATATTATTTAGTTAGTGAAAAATTCTCTATGATCGAAATATTCATTTCTTAAAATAAAAATAATAAGTTTATATATGTTGTCTCCAGAAAAGGATTTCATTCTCTATAATGCTTAAAGACCATCAAATATGTAAGTTCCTAGTTTTATGACAACAGCTTCTTCATTCAGAAATCAAAAGTTATCTAGCTTAAGGAACAAAAGTTGTGCAACAGCAATCCAAGATGCAGTATATTCAATAAATAAATAGAAGAAACATATATCAACAATAGATTATTAAATTTGTGATAAAAGTGAGCCTATCAATCTTAAGAATGCCTGTTATCCAAAATTCAAATCAGAATAGAGTGAAATTTCTCAAATTGCTAAATCCTAAATTAGTACATTCATAACAGTCCCAAAAATAATTCATTTAATTGATTTCTGTAATAAAAAAATCTTAGATGATGAACTTAAAAAAAGAAAACTTAGTTAAGACCAAACTCATAAAAACTTTAACTTAAAGATGAATAATTTTCATGACAATAAGAAATCAATAAAGTTAGTATAAAAAAATTAAAAGAGTAATTTCACACTTCCATAAATGTAGTCTAATGGAAAAAATGAAATTCAAATTATCTAAGATAAAATAAATCAAAATAAAATAGATACAACATCATTTAATGATTCTCCAGCTCCAAAAATAATTAACAAGTAACCCAATTTTTAAACCTATACAACTAAATAGCCAATTAGAAGTTTCGATATGCTTTACAATGTTAAACATCTTGTGAGGTTATAAAAAAAAAGATAAAAAGAATTTGAGGAGACTTAATAAAATGACCCAGAATTTTAATTAGAAATTATAAAGAGATAAAATTAAATCTAAATTTTGATGTCGAATACCAAAAAACTAGAATAACTCAAAAAAGCTTCAAAAGGAGTAATTTATTAGTTTAAATTATTTAGATATTATCGCATATCAATGAATAAGATCAGTAGGCTGAATAAATATTTTAGGATTTCAAATAGAAATTGGATATAAAATGATACTAATATAATTTTGTTTTATTTTTTCTTATTCATTCTTTTAATTTTAATTTAAGAAGTTTGAAGATGTTTCAAAATAGAGAATAAGATTTAAAAATAAGATTAATTGTTAGTTAAATTTATTAACAAAAAAGATTTAATTTATAAATTTTGAATTATACTTTTTAAGATTTCTTTTATCAGAAAAATCTCAAACAGTGAGAGATATTACTATAGAAAAAAGTATATGTGAAATTTTTTTATCGGCAATCCTTTCTAATATTTAGAATCATCTAAAAGTTCCATAATAGGGATGAAATATAATTTCTAAAAAAAAAAATAATTTTATATTTACTGTGATATCCATTAGTGTCCATTGTCCTATGATCATATAATTAATTATCATTCCAGCTTTCATATATCAGAATTATTGTTATATTTATAAGGTAAATAATAAGGAAAGTGTAATTATTACTAGCGCTTATACAATATCATTAAAAAATTTAAGAAATACACCATTCTAAAGATACTTTGTGATTTTGAGAATTATAATTGTGTTAAATTGTAATAATAATAATAATTTTATATTATAATATAGAGATTGTAAAATTGAACTTGCCCATTGTATTAAAATAATTTAAGAATATCATTTATTAGAAAGCAAAAATTATCAAGAGAATAAATAGATTAGATGATCATTTTTGTCTAATCTAAATAGAGATAATAAATAATTAAAGAACATTGAAATAATTAGAAAAATATTTAGAGATATTATCTTAGTAGGATTGAAAATTCATTTTATCCGTTGAACAAACTAAGTGCAGCCTTGATAAATTAGAAGACATTTAAATGTAGTAATAAATTTGAAATCGACATATATCAATTAGATAAATGATATATATAATTTAATATATGACTTCTAATTTTTTAATAAATGATTACGAAGGGATAAGTAAAATTTATTCATCAAAATAAGACTAAAGAAAATTTCTGTTAGATTTAAAATTCAATTAAAATTTTAATTTTTTTCAATTTAACCAAAAGCCAATTTTGAAATTAAAATGTTTACTATATTTAATGTATTTTGAAGTTCAAATATATGATGGAGATGAAAATATTATTAACAAATCAATATTCAAGTATTCTACTAATATCAAATATTCTTTGACACTCTTTTTATTAGTTTTTTATTAAAATTTCCTAAAGTGATTATTCGGTAAAACTATGAATTTTTATTAACATTCTTGTCCTTTGCAATAATAAAAAACTAAACTTACTAAAATCAGTTAAATTTTTTGCACAAGTTTCATAATGTTATATTGATCTCCAAATTTTTAAATGAGATAGAAGCTTTATTAAGAATAATTTGATCTAATCTTATTCTTTAAAATTAGTTACTGAAGATAAAAAATTTAGCCAAGTCAAATTCTTTACTTCTTCATTTATTGAACTATGAATTACTTATGCTTATTATTCAGTTAGTTTAAAGATCTTTTTAAATATTTCTAAATATTTATTTGTTTTATTAAATTCATCAAAGGCAGATAAAACTAAAAAACTTTCAGGGTTTTTTCTTTTTATTTAGTCAAGAGATATTTTACTCACAATAAAACGTATTGCTATAGTCTAATACTGCTCCACTAAAACTTAGTTATCACTTTAGAATTCATTTTATGTTAAATTGTATAATTCAAACATTTCATAAATTTCATAATATTCATTATGTAGTATAAGAAACGATTTATAAGATTATCCATCTTCTGTAAAATGATTAGAGAAAGACTCAAAATACTTAAATTCTTTTTCTTCATTATATTCTTCAAATAGGTTATTTAACAATTTTTAGTATATACATGAGATAGTATAATGTTTATATTCTCTAATATCTGACCACTTATTTTAAATAATTTCAAGTTTTTATAAATTTGTCCATTACTCATCTTTTGGAATCATATATTCAATGAGACCATTTAAAAATTTATTTTAACTTAACTTTAAAATGAAATAATTATTTTCTCTAAGATAATTATACATAAATTGCTGAATATTCTAATAAATCATATCTAATCTTTCGAACTTTAATGAATTAAAAAAAGCTTTCACTCTATTTTAATCTAATTTATAATTATTATTTTATTGCTCTAAATTTGGCCTAATATAATAATCAAATATATCTTCAGTTGTTAACTAATTCATATAAAATAAACATATTAAATTTAGAAGTTGAAATTTTGATTACTAAAATTCTATAGTTTTAATTGAATTGCAAAATAATGATGTATTAATAAAAACTTACTAACAAGTTTCAAATGATAGTCTTAAAATATCTTTTCCCCAAGATTAGTTTCCATTTTTCTTAATAATATGATAAATGCTAGCTTAAATTAATAATAAATAAGTGTCTTCTTTATAAGAATCAAGTTTCTGGTGTACTAAATAAGAGATTTTTCTTTTAAAGAGTTCACAATTTAGTAATTGAGCATTCCCTTCTTTTGCAGACAATAATGGTAAAATACAGTTTGGCTACTCCTTTTTTTTTTTTAAATGACTATAATATAAAAAATTTAGATCAATAGATTTCTCAACTTTAGAAAATTAAGTTACTTTTATCAAAGTTTATGAGTTTATTTTAATTTTCTTAATTGTAATCCCAAAACCTACAATAGGAAATATCTCTATTAATTCATGATCTTATTTGCATTATAAGCACTTTTATCTAAAATCAGGATCCCTGAGCATATCAATCATATTTTCTAAGTTTATACAAGATACTTCCTATTATGAGTCTTTAAGGATTATATCTAAAAATTATTATTTCATAAATATTATTGAATTATTCTACTTTTGTTTGTGTACTATTTTAAATTCGTGATAGAATAAACTATAATTTATTTATTAATAAATTCATAAAAAATAAATTGCACTTATTAATATATATTATTTCAGATTCCATAAAAATTTAAAAAATACTTTTAATTAAAAGATTTCAAAGTCTTTCTCAGTCATATTTATCAATTTTATTAATTTCTTATTTTAACTATTTTATAAATAATTCTTAATAATATACAATAATTTCAAATCATTACATTCTAAATTTCGTACTTCTCTTAACCTTTCTTCCTAATGGTTATTCATCTTCATTAATATCATTTTCATTTGATTAATCATTTTATTAAACATTCCTTACATCTTTTTTATTCTAATTTGATTTTCTTTCCCCATCAAAATTATCTTCTTTTTCTTTCAAATATTGTTCTCTTTATTTAACAAATGTATTGAAATCATCTTCATCTTTAACTTTTGTTTATTTATAGTTTTTTTAATATTTATCATTTTCATAATACTATTTTTCTTAATTATTTGAAAAATCATCTTTTCTACCTTTATAATTTCTTGGTGCTTCATTATATTCTTCACTATAATCAGTATTTCTTCTTTCAAATCTATCACCTTTAAATCCTTTTTCACTTCTATCAAATTTATCTCTTCTTTCATAATTTGAATTTCGATCTTCATATTTATCGAAACTTCTATTTTCTCTATATTACTCTCTATTTGCTTCTCTATCATATTTTTAAGGCCTATCTTATCTATTATATCTCTCTTAATTATCATATTTATCATATTTTTGTGCATATTTATCATATCTACCTTAATCATCATTATATTTATTTGAATCAAATTAACGATTATATTTCTATTAATTATCATATTTATCAAATCTATCTTTTCTATTGAATTATTCTGATCTATCAAATTTATTATTATATTTATTTCCTCTTTCATATTTATCATATTTATTATCAGAATTTTCATAATAATTTTATCTTTTACCATAATTTTTATTATCATTATCAATATCTATATTTTCTTATCTTCTACTTTCCTTTTTTGGTTAAGTATTTTGATCTTCTAAAAAATCAGCTTTTTTTGTATATTTATCTGTTTTTTTATTTGAATCTTATTAATGAATAGATTCATTTTCAGAAACCTAAGCAATATCACTCAAAAATTATTCATTAAGTTTATTTTGGTTAAGTTAAAAATCAATTAAAATGGAATGAAATGTATCTAAAACTCTTGTACTAGACAACCAAAAGCTTTTTTAATCATTTTATCTATAATGATAAAATTATAATAATTTACAAGTTCATTTCATGAGTACTAATTGTTTCTAAAAATTTAGATAGATGTGGTAATAGTAATGTTTACATATTACCTCCATCTGTTTATTAAAATGCCTTTTAACATTTTGCATGATGTGGACATTAAGGACAAACAAAGTCTTCTCTAACTCCTATTTATGCTCTTAATTCTTTAAACAATTATATTTCTGCTTCTTTTGTTGGTGAATCTACTGGACAAGGTGTTGTAATAATTCTGTTGATATCTCTTTTATGAAATCTCCAATAAAAGTTTCCCTTTGGTAAATCCTTAAAAGTATGTGAAATAGATTGCAAATACACCTTAAATAGTTATTAAGACATAATTAAAATAATGTTTTAAATATTTATATTTTGATATATCTCAATGACTATCGTGATGAATATTTACTATGTAAAATGCAGTTTCAATGCTGGAAACAAGAAAGGCTCTATCCTTGATTTCAATACCAAACTCTTTTTCAAGAGCATCATGAATGTGAATACAAGTAGCAACATCAACATATCCTGCTGCATCATTCCAATTAGTATTAAATGTAATTGGTGTCGACTCCCACTATATAGATAATTGAATCAAGATTTACTCTTTCTGGATCTATTTTTCTTAATCTTTCTCCAACCACTTTAATGATTCTCTTAGCAGTTACAGCTGGCTAAAGCATAGAAAATATAGTACATTATTATAGACAGAACCATTAGGAAAATGATAGGTATAAAGAGGAGCTTGTGATTGCATACTCTTTACAACAGTAGATATTAATTTATTCATATTTTAATTATTATTATTATATTTGATTAATATACTCATTGTTTCTTAGCTTATTATTTTTTTGGTTATGTTTTTTTGGTTTATTCTTTAGGTTGTTCTTTGGTTTATTCCTTTTATTCTTTTGGTTATTGTTTTTTTTATTCTTTCTTTTCATCCTTGACTTCAACTTCAGCATCCTCCTTTAATTTCTTGATTCTCAACATACCTTATTTTGCAGATAATCCAGCAGGAGTACTAATAGATGAAATAAACTATTACTTGACTTCCCAAGCACCACCAGCAATTTATAATCCAGTTTATGTGCATCTCCAAATACCAATAGCTTATCTTTTGAGTGAATGCTAAAATATTATAATATATATATTACAGCTCCAGTAAAAGTGTTGAAATATCTTTGATGTTATGAAATTTCAAACTTCTTGATAATTTTTCTTAATGATGCACCATATCTGGTACCATATTTTCCTGTAATTCCAACCTTCTTTGTTTTTTTGGTCATTTCAAATAATAATTAAAATCTTTAATTTATTTTTAAATAATTGAACAACTATGAGTGATTCAGATGATGATATTTTTAAAAAGAAGAAGCCAAGTAAAAAAAAAATTGAATAATAACAAAAGTAATAACAATAATAATTACTACTATAACAATAAAAATAACTTAAACAAGAACTAAATCAAACAGAATAATAAATCAATAATCCAAAACATCCTAAATTAGTTATCTATTGTAGAATATGTACATTCCCTGTTGAATTTTGTTCATTTTCTAAAACACCTAAAGAATGCAAAGAATGGTTAAAAACATCATTTAATGAATTATATGCAATTTTATATCCTGAAGAATTCAAATTAGAATAAGAAAAATAAGCTGCTATTTTAGAATAGCAAAGACTAATAGCATAACATTAATTATTAATTTAACCTTTAGGAAAAAAAAAGAGGAATAACACTAAAGTAAAAGAAAGTGATATGGTTTATCTAAAAGTTAAAGAAAGAAATAGAAATAAATTTATAACCACTTTATCAGGATTAGAAAAACATGGTAATTAAATTGCATATTTAAGGTCTTGATATTAAGGAAAGTTCGAAAAAAATTAGTAAAAAATTTGGTTGTGGTTCTTCAATCAATGAAAAAGGAGCTATTGAATTACAAGGGGATTTGACTGAAGAATTAATAGAGTGGCTTCCAAAAGAATATCCAACTATTAAAGAAGACATGATTGCAATTAAAGATAAATGAGATTTAAATCAGAAAATATCTATATATTTTTAATATAAATGAAGCACTGTCAAAAAAAGAAAAATTACTCTAATATAAATATTGTCGAAAAAATAAAGTGTAGACGATATGATCCTATTTCAAAAGAATAATAATATTGTATTAAATGGCAAAGTTTATAGTAGTAAAGCAAAAAATATTAGGGAACCTTTGAGAGATCTAATGAATTTTTTATTTGATAATGAGAAATTTGAAAATTAGTAGTGTAATAACAATAATAAGATATCTCTAGAAATGGATAATAAAAACTCAAATAATTGCTTCACATTAAATTAACTTAATTTCTTAAAAAAATAGCCCCTAAATTTTAATAATTATAAGAAATAATTCGAATCAATTATCAAAAGCTCATATAAAGAAAAATAATCAAAAATTAAGCATTCAGATGCTTTGTCAATAACTATTCTTTATCAATTCAAAGCAAAAATATCAATTCTTGCATAAAGTTATCAATAATTTAAACTATACTTTAAAAGTGATTATCTATACTATCTTGGTATAAATTTATGAATCATCAATTCTCCTAAATAGAAGAATAAATATTTAAGTTTTTTCTTATTTTAAACCATTTAAATATAAAGAATTAATATAGTCATAAATATATATTAAATATTTATTAAACAATAATGATTATTGAGGCTAATTCTTTGGCTGAAGAATTAAGAGGTGTTTCAAGGTACGAAAAAGTAATAAACAAAAATAATTACATATAGATTGCTTATGTTTCAATATTTATGATTGGATTACTAATTATTAAAACAGATGATGCTTACATTACATGTGAAACTTCATAAGAGTAATAAGGAATCATTTGGGAAATGGGATTGATTCCTTTGGCTTTTATTGGAGATGTTACTAAAAATTTGAATATTAATATTTTTATTGCAGGATTGGTTTAATTTTTAGTTTGTCAATTAAGACTTTAATTTACTATTATTTATTTGCTCTATAAAATTCTGGGACAAGGACAAATAGTATCAAAATTAATATATTTAAGAGACTTATAGTTTACTTTACTTAATACCCTTGATTACAAATCTAATATTACCCTATTAAAAAATACTTTTTGGCTTTGCATAATTTGTGTTAGTATTATTGATTATAATGTTAAATAAAACACTTATGCAATAAAAATAACACAAACCTAAAATTAATTTTTAATTTTATGCAAGCAGATTAATAGCATGTATTATATTAATGCAAAAATTGGATATGGTTAATAGTAATTTTTATGATAATCAGGTGATATTTATGAGTATTATTTTTATTTATAAATTAGTACTTAGTTTACCTGTTGTTAAATTATTGTGTAATCGAGTACCAGATATAGCATTTGCTATCCTATTCCTCATTTACTTTTATTTATCAAAAGGTTACCCATTTATATAAAATGTGTTGTAAGGTTTGCTTGTTTGTTTTGTAATTTTAAAACTATTGCCAGTTATAATGGATTAAAAATTTTCATGTATTTTGTATTCTAATATAATTAGTGACGATTTCGTTACTCTTGCCAATTATTATATTGATTTTCCCTTTGTCAGAATATTTTTTTGTGTTGTTAATCTTCTTAACTATAAGCGAACCACCATAAAACTTATATGAGTAGATTGAATTATGAATAAATATATATATATTAAAATTAAATTATGGGCAGAGGTGATTTCAATAGCAGAGGTGGAGGAAGAGGTGCCCCTAGAGGTGGAAGTTTCGGAAGAGGAGGTGGAAGAGGAGGAAGACCTCAATAACCATAAGGTCCACCAGCAAAAGTTGAACCATTCGCTACTTTTTCACATGTTTGTGGAAACCAAATTATTGTTAAAGCTTTAGGGAAGCAATTAGTATTAAACATATTTATTATTAGGTTCCAAGATTCTTTAGAAGTGTATATTTTGAAAATAAGCAATCGATTGGTAAAGTTGNTACTTTAAAAGTGATTATCTATACTATCTTGGTATAAATTTATGAATCATCAATTCTCCTAAATAGAAGAATAAATATTTAAGTTTTTTCTTATTTTAAACCATTTAAATATAAAGAATTAATATAGTCATAAATATATATTAAATATTTATTAAACAATAATGATTATTGAGGCTAATTCTTTGGCTGAAGAATTAAGAGGTGTTTCAAGGTACGAAAAAGTAATAAACAAAAATAATTACATATAGATTGCTTATGTTTCAATATTTATGATTGGATTACTAATTATTAAAACAGATGATGCTTACATTACATGTGAAACTTCATAAGAGTAATAAGGAATCATTTGGGAAATGGGATTGATTCCTTTGGCTTTTATTGGAGATGTTACTAAAAATTTGAATATTAATATTTTTATTGCAGGATTGGTTTAATTTTTAGTTTGTCAATTAAGACTTTAATTTACTATTATTTATTTGCTCTATAAAATTCTGGGACAAGGACAAATAGTATCAAAATTAATATATTTAAGAGACTTATAGTTTACTTTACTTAATACCCTTGATTACAAATCTAATATTACCCTATTAAAAAATACTTTTTGGCTTTGCATAATTTGTGTTAGTATTATTGATTATAATGTTAAATAAAACACTTATGCAATAAAAATAACACAAACCTAAAATTAATTTTTAATTTTATGCAAGCAGATTAATAGCATGTATTATATTAATGCAAAAATTGGATATGGTTAATAGTAATTTTTATGATAATCAGGTGATATTTATGAGTATTATTTTTATTTATAAATTAGTACTTAGTTTACCTGTTGTTAAATTATTGTGTAATCGAGTACCAGATATAGCATTTGCTATCCTATTCCTCATTTACTTTTATTTATCAAAAGGTTACCCATTTATATAAAATGTGTTGTAAGGTTTGCTTGTTTGTTTTGTAATTTTAAAACTATTGCCAGTTATAATGGATTAAAAATTTTCATGTATTTTGTATTCTAATATAATTAGTGACGATTTCGTTACTCTTGCCAATTATTATATTGATTTTCCCTTTGTCAGAATATTTTTTTGTGTTGTTAATCTTCTTAACTATAAGCGAACCACCATAAAACTTATATGAGTAGATTGAATTATGAATAAATATATATATATTAAAATTAAATTATGGGCAGAGGTGATTTCAATAGCAGAGGTGGAGGAAGAGGTGCCCCTAGAGGTGGAAGTTTCGGAAGAGGAGGTGGAAGAGGAGGAAGACCTCAATAACCATAAGGTCCACCAGCAAAAGTTGAACCATTCGCTACTTTTTCACATGTTTGTGGAAACCAAATTATTGTTAAAGCTTTAGGGAAGCAATTAGTATTAAACATATTTATTATTAGGTTCCAAGATTCTTTAGAAGTGTATATTTTGAAAATAAGCAATCGATTGGTAAAGTTGATGAAATTTTTGGTCCAATTGAAAATTTCTTATTCTCAGTAACATTGGAAGAAGGAATTACTCCAAAATCAGTATTCAAATATTTAATCAAAGTTCAAATAAGATCAATTGATTTATATGGATGCCTATGATTGCATGCCAATTGATAGATTTTTACCAAAACCAAAAGGTGCACCAGGAATAAGCAGAGGTGGAGGCAGAGGAGGATCAAGAGGTGGAGGCAGAGGAGGACCTAGTAGAGGAGGACCAAGAGGAGGTGGTTTTAGTAGAGGAGGACCTAGAGGAGGCGGTTTTAGTAGAGGAGGACCAAGAGGAGGCGGATAATAAAGAGGAGGTTATGGAAGAGGTGGATTTAAAAGATGATAAGAATATTACATTTATTTGATCAACATTCATATTTTAAGTAATACTTAAAATTCTATTTTGTTTAATCAATATTATTTTAAAGTAATTTCATTAAAAAAATATCATAATTTTTAATAAAAAGTTTCATTTATCAATTCTCTCATAATTTTATTCATTAAAGACTTCTAAAGTTCTGATTAAATTTAAAAAATTGAATTTTTTATAATTTATATTTAAGAAATTTGTTACAATTTACAAGTCAATCTTAGATTTATAATTAATTTTCAATAAAATAATTAATTATGTGTTTTATTGGAATAAAAAAAAGTTATCTTTATCATATTATCATTTATTAATATNAGATATAGCATTTGCTATCCTATTCCTCATTTACTTTTATTTATCAAAAGGTTACCCATTTATATAAAATGTGTTGTAAGGTTTGCTTGTTTGTTTTGTAATTTTAAAACTATTGCCAGTTATAATGGATTAAAAATTTTCATGTATTTTGTATTCTAATATAATTAGTGACGATTTCGTTACTCTTGCCAATTATTATATTGATTTTCCCTTTGTCAGAATATTTTTTTGTGTTGTTAATCTTCTTAACTATAAGCGAACCACCATAAAACTTATATGAGTAGATTGAATTATGAATAAATATATATATATTAAAATTAAATTATGGGCAGAGGTGATTTCAATAGCAGAGGTGGAGGAAGAGGTGCCCCTAGAGGTGGAAGTTTCGGAAGAGGAGGTGGAAGAGGAGGAAGACCTCAATAACCATAAGGTCCACCAGCAAAAGTTGAACCATTCGCTACTTTTTCACATGTTTGTGGAAACCAAATTATTGTTAAAGCTTTAGGGAAGCAATTAGTATTAAACATATTTATTATTAGGTTCCAAGATTCTTTAGAAGTGTATATTTTGAAAATAAGCAATCGATTGGTAAAGTTGATGAAATTTTTGGTCCAATTGAAAATTTCTTATTCTCAGTAACATTGGAAGAAGGAATTACTCCAAAATCAGTATTCAAATATTTAATCAAAGTTCAAATAAGATCAATTGATTTATATGGATGCCTATGATTGCATGCCAATTGATAGATTTTTACCAAAACCAAAAGGTGCACCAGGAATAAGCAGAGGTGGAGGCAGAGGAGGATCAAGAGGTGGAGGCAGAGGAGGACCTAGTAGAGGAGGACCAAGAGGAGGTGGTTTTAGTAGAGGAGGACCTAGAGGAGGCGGTTTTAGTAGAGGAGGACCAAGAGGAGGCGGATAATAAAGAGGAGGTTATGGAAGAGGTGGATTTAAAAGATGATAAGAATATTACATTTATTTGATCAACATTCATATTTTAAGTAATACTTAAAATTCTATTTTGTTTAATCAATATTATTTTAAAGTAATTTCATTAAAAAAATATCATAATTTTTAATAAAAAGTTTCATTTATCAATTCTCTCATAATTTTATTCATTAAAGACTTCTAAAGTTCTGATTAAATTTAAAAAATTGAATTTTTTATAATTTATATTTAAGAAATTTGTTACAATTTACAAGTCAATCTTAGATTTATAATTAATTTTCAATAAAATAATTAATTATGTGTTTTATTGGAATAAAAAAAAGTTATCTTTATCATATTATCATTTATTAATATTTAAAAACAAAAATATATAAATTGTTGAATAAATCAATAAAAACCTGTGCTAGTAGTAGATCTATTGGATAATTTAATTTTTGGTTAAAATGTACATTATTTAGCCTCTTTTTATTCTTATTATTCTTTAATCTATTTTATTTTTTATTCTTTAACTATATTTTCTTTCATTGCCTTTTAATATAAGGCAGCTGGACCTTTAAATGTTTATCTTTATTTTGCTATAATCTCAGATTTTTAATTTAACTAAGGTCTAAAAGTACTAGAACTATCAGGTTATGTCTTTTACTATTTGGGTTATTTTTAAAATAGACGATTTTTATCAAAAACACTCATTTTTTCAATTATATCAAGACATTTTGCTGTCCATGTTTCTATATTTAATAATATATCCAACTTTTCTAATTATAAAATGACTGGCTATAATAGTTCTAAAGCTTCTGTTGGCAATTCTTCGAGATAAATATTTTGAGCACTGATCAATCCATCATTATCAGAATCCATTAATTTAAAATATTCTTCTAATTTCTTTCTTCTCATTTATTAAACTATTTAATTAGATCTATCAGTTTAGATTGATTTAGTTAATTCATCATATTCAAATTAGATTATTGATTCTTCATTTAAAGATTTTTATTATTAATAAAGGTATTCTCCAATATTAAGTCCACCTCTGGATCTATTGGCACTATGAACTTATGGTTGAAATAGTTTTTATCCACTTTTATCATCATACATTAGAGATTCTTCAATATCTTATTTTAATTTATCTTCTTTAATTTTTTTTTACATTTCCATTCTTTCTAAAAAAGGTAGATATTATTTATTTTAAGATTTATTTGGAGTTACACTCCTTTTTGTTAACTAGGTTTGTGATTCTTAAATAATAGAAGTTTAAGATTTATTATTAGCTTTTCTTTTTTTTGCTTAATTGTATAATTAATCAAATTTAGTCATGCTTACATCTTTCTTAATAATTTCCTCGCATATTTTTTAGGAGCTATATAAAAAATTATAATTACATTTTATTAATCTCAGGTCTGAAAGAACATTCTCTTGAAGTTTCATTTAAAAGTTATTATTCTGCTTTTTTTTTTTATTCTTATAATTATTATCCATATTTCATTAAGTAATATTCTGGAGTATTATTTCTGTTTTATCTTATTGTACTAACAATTTTTAATGTATTTTAATTGAGTTTTGGTTTGAATGTGGCTTCTCTAATAGATTCTTCTTCTTTTATAATTCTCTGCTTTTAGATTGCATTTTTCTTATAGTTCATATACTTAACTTATTTCTCATAGATATCAGTTTTTTTAATGGCATTCTATGATTTGTTTAAGTTATCATTCTTATTTTCCTTCTTTTCCTAATTAACTTATTTTATTTATTTGATTGCTTAATCTTGTTGAGGTTTATTAGTATTAGTGTTACTTATCTAAGTGGATTAATTTACGAAGCTAAAATAATTTTCCTTTTCATTCAGATTCAATTTAATATTTTGAGCAATAACATCTTTTATTTCATCCTTTAGATGATGCTTCTCACAAAATTGACTAGCCTTAACTTCAATATCATCTCCCTCATACAAATATATAATGTCATGTTCATTTTATCCAAGTTAAATTGTCAACTCCAACAATAATTTTCTGTTATCTAATAATCCTAGTTCGGCTAGCAAACTTTCTTAATCAATCATACAAGAATTCGTTAAAATAATTAAAATTATATTATATGAACATTCAGATACATTAAAATTTATAGGATTTCTATTTTCTTGTTGGTAAACTTAAAAGGGCATTTGAAATTAAATAGTCAAAAGTTATCTTATCTTTCAAATCCTTAAAAATTTTAATTTTATATCTAAATATTTAAATATTTATTTTACAATATATGACCTATTTTTAAGATAAAATTGTTTAAAATCAAAGGAGATATATATCAAAAATTCAATAATTTTTAAATGCAAAAAGTTTTATTTTGATTATAGATGAATAATAATTCAAATTTTATTATTGAAGCTTAATATGATATTTTTGTTCTGACTCTAGAGAATTTTATTGATTGGTGATGAATAATTTAGAAAAATTAACTGTTGTTAATTAGAAGATTTTTGAATTAGTAAAATATAATAAGTTAATATAAAATCAACTATGATAAATGATTTATTAGCTTTTAATTCAAAAACTTTTAGGTGAATATATAAAACAAAATAAAGTGATAGAAATTTTTATTATAAGATATACAATTTTTTTTTTAAATCTCAAAGTATGGTTATATTGATATTTCTAGAAATTAAGAATAACATTATTGATTTATTGCTGAATATTAAAAGCAAAAGGAACATTCCTTAGAAATAGTATGTAAAAAAATAAATTAGTGAAATAATAATAATAACAATCTATTTAATAACAAATTTAAAATATTTATACCTATTTTTTATATTTAAAACAATCTAATAACGATTATGTCTAATTCCAGAAAGCCTTGTAAAACTCAAAAGATCCATTTTAAATGTAATCTTAAAGACTTGTATATAGATGTAATATTTATTATATTATTTTTTATTCACCATCCTTGGAAATAATTTTAATTAGGTTCATTTTTAATCTGTTTTTGAATATTGGTTGGTTATTCTTCAGCTACATTTTTATAAATAGTTTCGCTTTTTTTATAGATTAATTTTTATACTCAGGATTTGGTTAAAATATAGGTTTAATTTTTTTTTGCTCCAATTCCTTCCAATTAATATCTTTAAACCACTTATGCATTTTGATATCATTGAAACCTCCTTTCAGACTTCCTAGCCTATTCAAATAGTTTGGTTATAATAATCCACTAACCAAACTCTTTGCTTCTCTATATAAAAAGGAATTATAATTATTTACTATGAAAAATTTTAGGTGAATTAATACTGCCCTTTTACTTTTTAAAAACACTGTTCAGAAATATCCTCACTAAAAGGGAATTTTCCTTCCAACATTTAATAAATCAAAATTCCTAAAGAATAAAAATCGACTGGTTTCCAATGCCCTTAAGTTATATAATTATTAGTTTTTATACCCTAAGTTTACATATTTTCTGGAGGTAGATAATTTAAGTTGCTTATAAAAGTGTAGGTCTTCTTTTTAGTTTATTTTGCATATGAAAAATTATCCAATTTTATATAACCATCAGATCCAATCAAAATTAATTCTGCATCTAAACCTCGATATAGTATATCTTTTGTATGCAAATACTCAAGCGCTAGAACAACTTGAGCTGCATAAAATCTAATTTTATTTTACAAACTTACACTGCCTAATTGTTTTCCAATTTATTTTTGATAGAGATCAGTGACCTAAGCGATCCATAATTCACATTCTCTTGAATTAGATATAGACTCCTTTAATCCTAACATGTTCCTAGCATTTTAATCTAATATAAAAGTTTATGTACTATGAAAGGATGATTTGTAATAGATAAGATATTCTTTTCATTCAGAGCTAGAGCCTTAACACGTTCTATTCCTAAATCAGTAGATTTTGAGTTAAATTTTATGATTGCTAATGGCGGTTCTTCAGTTTTTTCTATAACATATTAATATATTAATATATTAACATTTTGAGTATTCTTTTATTATTACTAACTTGCCAGTTTTTTTGTTTTTAGCTTATTTTTATATAAAATGACTCTCTGTTTTAAAAAAAAATTAAACTAAAATTTCATAATCTTCAATCATTGGTTTAGTCTCTTAAAGTGTTTTCTAATCCATTTTAATGTGTTATTAATAAAATAAATTTAATAATCAATTTTATATCCTCTGAGATCTGCTTATTAATTATATACTTATATTCAATCAATTTTCTATTAATTTAATAATATTAATTTTACAATTCTATTATTATCATAATAATAATAAAAAAAATAAAACATAATTTACTTTATAAGATAATCCAATAGCAATCAAAATTGATTTAGTTACTTTATGTATTAAAATTCTTTAATACCAAGATACTCTATTGAATAACTTACAATTATGTTGAAATGAAAAACTAAAAATATCATGACAAAATTTTATTAAGAGTGAGTGTTGCAATCATGTAAATAAATTTAATCAATCAAAAAATTTCAAAAGAATATGTTGAAGTCTACCAAAATTAACATAAATTATTCGATTATAAAATACATAAATCCTTATAAATGAAATAAAAGAACTATATGTTTAAATATTCCTTTTCTACAGAATCTGATTTAGAATGGGAATAAACCTAAATATGAAATTAAAGATTGTTTTGCAATTAATATCATAATTAAATTTAAAGTAATAATATTACTTGATTTAAATGATTAATTTATTCAAAATTAATCAAATATATTGCAAAAATTATTTTTAGTTTAACCTTTTTTCCATTTCACATCTACTTTAATAGTTAAAAGTTCATTACCCACTTTTTTTTTCAATTTTACCTTATTCATTTTTTTTTAATGAATTCCATTTTATATTATAATAAAATATTTATTATTCTCCAAAATATTAAAAACTATTATTTATTTAACAGTTATTACTAAAAGTTTTGATATATCAAAATTAAATAAAGATTAATTTTAGATTTACTTAATCAACTTTCCTTTTTGTTTTTCATTATATGTTAATTTAATATTAATTTGTGTATTAGGTTCTTATATAGTAATACTTTCTAAAAAATAATTGTAATCACAATTTTAGAAGACAAAAAAATTTTATATCTTTGATTTATCTAAATTAATTTTTCCAACTTTTCTTTTTTTATTAAACTGTTAAAAATTCATTTTTATTGAAATTTTTCTGCTTTAGATTTTAGCAGTTAGACATTTTTTAATGATGCAAAATTTTCTTAAAGCTTAAATAAAATTTATTTAAACAAACTTAGTTAAAATTGATGCTAGTAAATTATTTTTTAAATTTATTAGCTAGTAAAAAATAATTTTGTATATTATCCTTAAAGTAATTTACTAAAATAAAGACTTCTTGATTCTATCCTTTAATAAAATAGTAAAGATTTTTTTATTAATCAGGAACTGTAATAAAGGGGAGATTATTTATATCATTATAGATATATTTAGTAGGATAGGAATTTAACTGAATTAACACAGCACTTTTGAATGATTTAGATAAGGAAAATATTTATTAAGATGTAATTATAAATTAAAAATCATAATAATTTTTTCTAATGAAAAATTCTTAAAAAGTATATAAATGTTCAAATGATGTTAAATTTTTTCATGCTTATCTAATAAGAATTATAACAACCATTTAAAGATCGAAAATAACATAGGATCATTCTGAGACTCTTTGTCCTCTTGAAACCTTTTTAATCAATCAAATCAATTAAAAATTTATTTTTGAAAAGGAGTATGTCACTTAAGCAAAATTTCTTTTTTATTTGTTAATATTTAAATCTTTCTTTATGTTCACAAAATTAGTATATAATGCATATGGATGCTTTTTTATTAATAAGATCAAATATTGTCTAATCAAAGTCTAAAATCAAGTACAAAGCTTGATGTATATCATCTGAACACTATTAAATTAGGCATTGAATATTGCTCTATGAATTTAGTGTCATCTTTAAAATAATCATTTATAGATTCTGATTCTTTTAAGTTCATTAAAAATTTAACAGAATTATAGAACAATATTAAATGAAGTTTGAACATAAAAAGAAATTCTCTGTGCATTTAGATATTTCATAACTTAAATCTAATTCTTATTTAAACTATCCTCTATCTACTAAAAGAAAGTTTGATAATCCCTAATCAACTAGAAAATTGGATACTTCACCTAAGAGTGTAAGTCCTAACAATTCATTTTTGTCTTCTGATAGGAAACTGCAATAAAAATACCCAATAAATAACTGTAAAACAAATTCACTCAAAAGCATACTCTAACCCTATAAAATTAGGTCACCATCAGACAAAGAAAATCATCACAGTTTTTTAAGCAACCGAAGTCAATTATATAAGCTACCTCTCTCAACTGAATAATTTCTTAAATTGTATAATTTAACAAGAAATGAACAAAGTGAATTGAATGGACTAAAATAAGTATAAATTTATCATTATTTTTAAGGTATATTATTATAAATAACCAAAATGTCTTGTTGATTAACCTAATGGAGATTATTCCTATAATATTAAGGATCATATAAGATATTAATATGAAATTGTGAATCTTTTAGGTTAAGGCAGTTTTGGTTAAGTATTTTAAGTATTAGATCATAAAACTTAATAATTATATGCTTTAAAAATAATCAAGAATCAAGAAAAATTAAAGAAGTAAGCAATTATTGAAGCTAATATACTTTAATATATCAAAGATCATGATACAGATTAATTATCAAATATTGTTAAAAATATAGAATAATTTACATTTCGAGGACATTAATGTATAGTTTTTGAGAAATTAGAGTAAAATTTATTTGAATTGATTTAAAAATAAAAATTTAAAGGAATAGATCATGAATTAGCAAGAAAAATAGGTATTTAATTATTGAATTCACTTAATTTCTTAAATAAACATAAGATAATACATTGTGATATCAAACCTGAGAATGTTATGTTATTAGATAATTCAAAAAGTGGAATTAAATTAGTTGATTTTGGTTCAGGTTGTTTTGTTGGTTAATAGATTTATACATATATATAGAGTAGATATTATAGAGCACCTGAAGTAATATTTGGATTAAAATATGGTATTGAAATTGATATGTGGAGTTTTGCATGTTTACTATCAGAATTATATATAGGAACTCCAATATTTCCAGGAGAAGATGAAATTGAATAAATTAATTTGATTATTGAAATTATTGGAGCACCTACTGTAGATTTTGCATTAAAATGTCCAAGAAGGAAATATTTCTTTGATGAAGATGGACATCCAAAGAAAAATATTAAATCTTATAGAAAACCAAATTCAGTTAGTCTCTATGATAAATTAAGAACAGAAGATTCTGATTTGGTTGATTTTTTACTCAGATGCTTTGCTTGGGAACCATAAAATAGATTGTAACCTTTAGATGCACTTAAACATCCATGGATAATTGCAGGTCTTCCTAAAGAAATATAAAAATAACATAAAAAATATATAGAACTTGAAAAATTACTTTAAACATAATAGACTCCATTAGTTTCACAATTATGTTTTTAAGGATCAAAGTAAAATAAATCTAAAGATCATTATTAAGAGGATTCCCATTTTAAAACAAAGAAGTAAATAAAATCCATACTGAATATTAATACAAATATCAGTAATATATCTGATCCTAAAACTAGTATTAAATGTATTTTAATATAGTATTGAGTTGTCGTTATAATGACAAGCCTTTACAATCTGAAAGGTAAAGATAAAATATTGCTTCATCTATCTACAAATTGCTATCTGATAAACCAAAGAGTAGGAAACCATCTTGTAATTGAATATAACTTTAAACTTACTACTTCATTTAAATGATTTTTTTTCATATATAATATTTGATTGGATTTAGATTGTTTTTTATCTTATTAATTTATTGTTTTTAAATATTCTCTATTCTATTCTAACTTTTATAATTAAGAATTGAAATTATTATATATATTTGAAGATGAGTAATAAAAGAAAGCATAAAGTTAAGCAATATATAGAAATTGAAATTAATGAAACATATAAGGATACTCCAACTTCTAAGCATGGAGATAGTTAGAGCAACGAATTAGATTAAACTAATAATTCTATTCAACAATAAGAACCAGAATAAAAATATAAATTTAATGTCATACCTTTAAAAGTAATAATTTATAATTAAATTATAGGTTGTGACATTAACTGTATTTCTTTTTATATTAGGTGTTATTTTTGTTATTTTTGGATTGATATTTTTAATAAAGAATCCAAAAAAAATTCAATAATACCTTTCTCTCTTGATAGTAGGAAGTTTAATGATTATTCCAGGATTATATTATAGTTGCTTATTAATTAAATTTATTAAAGCAGATTCTAGATCAGTTTAAGAAAAGATCCTAAATGAACTTCCAATAGATTGAATTATAAAATAGTTTTAAATTAAGATAACAAATGATTTCTTAATATATAATGATAATATTCACATATATGTAAATCAAATAAATTTTCAAATTGATAATTGATAATTAAGTTAATACGAGATGTCTTTTATTAAATATTCAATTTAAAGTCGTATAAAATTATATTTTAAATATCATAATATATAATAAAATTGGGTTTTAGTAAGAACATTTAATATTCATGAATAATTACTAATTTTTGGTAACCTAAAATTAATATTTAGGTAAAATAAGAATTTAGATGATGAATAAACTCAATTTTATAATTAATACGTTTTTATTGATAAATGCACTACGTTCCAATATCATAAACAGAAAGGCGTATATCAAAATTGAAGCACAAAAATAAACAGAAGACCATGTTTATAATAGTGGGAGCATTACTAATTTGTTTAATAACAATGTTAGTGCTTATTGTATTAGATGTTAATAGTATTGTTTTATTATATAAGATTATGTTAAGATTAACAGTATATTTTAAATATGGTAACCATAAACTACAGTAGCAATGGTTTAGACATAAAAAGATGTAATATCTTCAAAACATAAGCAAATTGATGAAGAATTATTTCATCTTAAATCAATATTTTAAGAAAAGGCATATAAAGAGGCCACAAATTTAAAATTACCTATAATAGATAAGAATGAATATTAATATTTCACTCTATAGAATGGATTAAAAGTATTAGTGATATAAGATCCAGAAGCTAAAATTGCATAAGCAGCATTATGTGTAAATGTAGGTTCATGGACAGAACCAGATGAATATCCAGGTTTAGCTCACTTTTTAGAACATATGTTATTTTAAGGATCAAAGAGTTATCCATAGGAAGGATATTTTTAAAAATTGGTAGCAGAAGGAGGTGGATCAACAAATGCATATACTAGAGGAGAAGAAACAAATTATTATATGAAAATAAATAATGAAAGAGTAGTGGAAGCTTTATAAGTGTTTGCTCATTTTTTTATTGATCCTTTATTGGATTCAAGTATGGTTGATAGAGAAGTAAATGCAGTAAATAGTGAATATGAAATAGCAGTATCAGGTGATTTATGGAAGATTTCACATTTATTTTAGATTTTATCAAATAAACCAATAGGTAGATTTACAATAGGTTCATTAAAAACTTTAAAAGATCCTATGAAAGAATTAGTAAAATTTCATTCACAATACTATAGTGCAAATATTATGAGTTTAGTGGTAAAATCAAATTATCCTGATATGGCCAAATGGATTAGAGAATAAAGTGATTTTTCATAAATACCAAATTTGAATTTAAAAAAAAGATCAAAATTACATTTACCTTTAAAGAAAACAGGTTTAATGGTTAAATATAAAACAAATGGAGATAAAAATTAATTAATTTTAGCTTATTAATTGGATTCTCCTAGAAGTGCTAAAAAAAGCAAAACTTTACCTATGATAGCATCATTAATAAAATCAAAACATAAGGAAGGATTATTAGATTATTTAGTTAGATAAAAAATGGCTTTAAATGTTGATGCAGGTACATTTTTAGAAGGAAATGGAGATTTTACATTCTTTCTTATAGAAATTGAATTAATTGAAGGAGTAGATGAACTTAAAGTAGCTGAAACTGTTACTGGATATTTTAATAATATGTTAGATTAATTCTTTTAAGAAGAAGATAAAAATGAAATTAATTATACACCATATTTAGAAGAAATATGGTAACAATACAAATAATTACAATTATCATAATACAATTATTTAGATAACAATCATTATCCTACTGTATAATAAATAGCTCATAATCTAAATTACTTTGATTATACTGATGCTATGAGTATTGAATTTTTATATGAGGAATTCTAACCTGAAATTATATATAATTATTTGACTGAAATGCTCAATCCATCAAATATTGTTATATTTCATGGTTCACCTAAATTTACTAATCTTAAATAATCATCAGAATTATATAGATTAGAATATGAAATTTAAACTCTTTCTAGAGAACAGATTAAAAAATTATCTAGTGCTGTTACTACTAAAGTTGTACTTTTTGATTGGATCAAAAGTAAATAATTACCATTGTTATTACCTAAAATTAACACTTTCATTCCTAAAGATTTTAGTATTAAATCTCTATGTAGAGAATAAACTTCATTTATATAAGCTCCTCTTGTATTTAAAAGCAAAGAAGACTGTATTTAACATGAAAAAGAATATGAAACCATTAATCATTATCCTCTTATGATTAAAAGAACTGTTGAAACNGAAATAGCAGTATCAGGTGATTTATGGAAGATTTCACATTTATTTTAGATTTTATCAAATAAACCAATAGGTAGATTTACAATAGGTTCATTAAAAACTTTAAAAGATCCTATGAAAGAATTAGTAAAATTTCATTCACAATACTATAGTGCAAATATTATGAGTTTAGTGGTAAAATCAAATTATCCTGATATGGCCAAATGGATTAGAGAATAAAGTGATTTTTCATAAATACCAAATTTGAATTTAAAAAAAAGATCAAAATTACATTTACCTTTAAAGAAAACAGGTTTAATGGTTAAATATAAAACAAATGGAGATAAAAATTAATTAATTTTAGCTTATTAATTGGATTCTCCTAGAAGTGCTAAAAAAAGCAAAACTTTACCTATGATAGCATCATTAATAAAATCAAAACATAAGGAAGGATTATTAGATTATTTAGTTAGATAAAAGATGGCTTTAAATGTTGATGCAGGTACATTTTTAGAAGGAAATGGAGATTTTACATTCTTTCTTATAGAAATTGAATTAATTGAAGGAGTAGATGAACTTAAAGTAGCTGAAACTGTTACTGGATATTTTAATAATATGTTAGATTAATTCTTTTAAGAAGTAGATAAAAATGAAATTAATTATACTCCATATTTAGAAGAAATATGGTAATAATATAAATAATTGCAATTATCACAATTCAATTATCTAGATAATAATCATTATCCTACTGTATAATAAATAGCTCATAATCTAAATTACTATGATTATACTGATGCAATGAGTATTGAATTTTTATATGAGGAATTCTAACCTGAAATTATATATAATTATTTGACTGAAATGCTCAATCCATCAAATATTATTATATTTCATGGTTCACCTAAATTTACTAATCTTAAATAATCATCAGAATTATATAGATTAGAATATGAAATTTAAACTCTTTCTAAAGAATAGATTAAAAAATTATCTAGTGCTGTTACTACTAAAGTTGTACTTTTTGATTGGATTAAAAGCAAATAATTACCATTGTTATTACCTAAAATTAATACATTCATTCCTAAAGATTTTAGTATTAAATCACTTTGTAGAGAGTAAACTTCATTTATATAAGCTCCTCTTGTATTTAAAAGCAAAGAAGATTGTATTTAACATGAAAAAGAATATGAAACCATTAATCATTATCCTCTTATGATTAAAAGAACTGTTGAAACTAAAGCTTGGTGGAAATTATAAAGATAATTTTAAGTTCCTCAAATATTTACAGGTGTTATGTTTAATACACCTAAATCTATTAATTCATTAAAGGATAAACTCTTAATTTAAGTATTTAATACTCTTGTAACTGATAATTTAAATTAAGAAATCTAAGAAGCTATAGATGCTGGATATCAATTTTAATTTACTCCAAGTATTAAGGGAGTTTCACTTGAATTATATGGATGGTCTGATAATTATTAATTATTCTTTGAAAAAGTTCTTTAATCCATTAATAATATAAAATATGATTCATTCTATTAGGTGAAATAGAAATTGATGATTCATTACAATAATATTTATTAAGACAAATTATTTAGAGTAGCTATGTCAGAATATTTGAATTAAGTTGTTTAAGCTTAATATTATACTTCTCAACTCTTTTAAGAAGAATTGGCAAACCTAAATTTGGAAAGTCTACAAGAATTTCATTAAAATTATTTCTCTAACTTTAGAGTATCATCTTTTGTGAGTGGTAACATTCTTAGATCTGAAGTAGAAGATCTATTACATTCTATAAGGAAAGTTTTTCATAAATCAAGTAGTCATACATCAGAAGAACCTCATGTTTTTAATATAAGAGATTTCACAAACAAAAATGTTGTTTTTCCTTTAATTCATAAAGGTGGTGATAATAATGATGTTAATGGAGTAACAATTAATTATTATTAAATTGGTCATAGAAACAAAAAGAATTTTGCTATAATGAATCTAATTCAATAATTCTTCCATAATCATGCTTTCTAATATCTAAGAACTGAGAGATAATTAGGTTATGTTGCTTTAATGAGATTCATTCCAATTGGTTGTATAGATGGTGCTGCAATTATTGTTTAAGGAACAGCATAAATGCCTTATATTGTTAATTAACATATTGAAGACTTTTTGAAACAATTCCATAATGTTCTTTTATAATTAGCTGATGATTAATTAGATAATATAAAAAATGGAGCTGTATTAATTGTATTGTATTTTAGAAATCTGCTCTTTAAGAGAAGGATAAATCATTATATGATGAAAGTGCTTATATTTGGAGTTAGATAAGAGGTAACAATCTTTAATTAGAAGAGAAAGAAATTGCTATTGCTATGATAGATGAAATAGTATAGAAGGTATTATTAATTATTATTATTAAGGATATCATAGAGTTTTATGAAAAATATTTTATTAAATAATAAAATAAGTTAAGTTTATAAATTTATGGTAAAGGTTTGAGTGAATAATTTAATTAAGTTAAAGATAATTTATTAGATAAAGAATAGATTATTGAATTGAAAACTCTTAATGAATTTAAATGTGCTTATACCTTAAATAATTTATGAAGAAATAATAATAAATAAGAGATTATTAAATAAAAATAGTTTTATTAAATATTAGCTATTTTATTATGATAGTATAAATCATTATATTTTCTCCAAAATACTTTTCTAAAATTATTTAATAGCAATTTCAGTTTATGGTCTTAGTTCTAAATCAAATAATTTTCTATAAAAATTAAATTTATATTATTTACTTTTCATAATTCTTTTTATGATACATATTCCAAACTTATTATTCATTTTTACTTTATTTAGCTATAATTCCTCTAACTTAATCATTTTCTCTCATAATAAGTTTTATTATATATACAATTTTTAAAATAATTCTTTTGCCCAATAATGTGTTTTATTTGGTCTTGGACTAGGAACTTCAACTTTAATGTTTTTCTTTTTTCCCAAATAAACATTTTAATGGATTGAATTTTGTCTGAACAATTTAGGTGATCTTTATAATCCACTTTCTTTTTTTACTCTGAAATTAATGGCACTTTTATTTTGATCTACTTTTCCAAACTTTCTTTATTTTCTTTATTGCTTGATATTTTAAACATATTAAGTAAACTCCTTTAATGATTCTACATTTTTTGTTGTATCTGGAAGTATAAGATCTGGTTTGTTTTATAAGTTTTATTTAGGTTATTATTTAACAGCTGATAAGTATTCGACTTCATGATCAATAAATGGCTAAGGAATAGGAAACTTTTTAAATCTTTAGAAGTTTAGTTTAGATAATGCTATATGATTGCATTAATAAGTGTTATTTTCTAAATAAGTAAAGAGATTATTCAATCTCTATAATGTTTAACAAGGACTTTCAATCATTTTCATTTATAAATAAAAATATTCATTATTTTTATTACAAAAACTCAATTATATCAGAATGATTGTATAATTTTGCTCTATCTAATGCTGTCATACCCAATTCATCTTTAGCATCTAATTCAGCTCCATAAAGTTTCAAATCCTATATCATTTTTAATCTCCCTAAACTTGCTGCTAAATGAATTGGTCTCATTCCTTCATAAGTTTATTAATTCACATTTGCTAAAATGTCATTTATAATATACTTATACCTTAATATAATAAACACAATAAAAATATTTCATATCTATCTATTACTATACTTTAAGTAAGTAGAGTTTATCCTGATTATTCTATTATCTCTTAATCAACATTGATATTTCCACTTTCAAGATCATCTTTTATTTATTTTATTCGATTCTATCTTAGATCACTCCATGTTGCATTTTCTCTTATTTCTTCTCTTACTATAAATGATTCATCCTTTCTGATAATACCCAATTCTAAATTATACAACTATATTACTTATAAGGAATCTATTTATATAAGTTTATAACATTAAATTTAATTTTGTGGTTATATGTTTTCATCCTATAGAAAGAAATTGTTTGATTAGAAACTTGCAGAATAACAATAAAACCTCCATTAATAGAAGGAACTGAAAATAAGATAGAGTCGTGGTTAAATTGATTAAAGAGCACTTGCTACCTATTTAGGAGCGTATATTCAAATGAAATGTATTAGATTTTATGGATTTTTAAGAAATTGAGGATTTCTTTTATGAATAATGTACCAATTAATGTATTGATATCTAAAATGAATGGATGAATGATAAAGAAAGATAATGTTTAACTGATTGTAATAGTAAAATAACAAAATTTGTTAAAATTGCTAAAGATAATTATGCAAATATTGATGATGATACAAAAAAAGTTGTTTCTTCTGTTTCTTCATTGTTAAATAGAAGATGATTTATAAATTTAATAAATTATATAACATATTTAGATCATTTCTTCAAATATAAGAATTATCTCTAAAATAATTATATATATTGTTAAACTTAATTTAGATTATGTCTTTAAATAAAAGGAATTTATAAGACAATGAAAGTAATTACATAAAAATTATAGTAATAATTCTTTATGATTATATAATTATTATACTTAAGAAATATATATTTTAAAATATTTAACAAAGAAATGATTAATATAAATAATGAGTAATCATTCTAAGAGATCAACTCTTATGAAATGTAATACTGTTAAAGCACCTAAATAATTAAGAAAAGCCAAATCATTTTATTCTTAAGCTGAAACCTTTCAACTTAGTAATCAAGTTGATGGAACTGATGAAAAATTAAAGTAATTTTTAAAAGAATATAATAAATAGAAAATTAGAATAATCATTCCATAACTAATCTGATTTTAAAATTATGTAATCTTAACCTAGATTTAATAAGACTTTTTCAGTTCATAAAAAAAATAATATTGTTGATACAATTATTCCAGAATGGTTAAAATCTAGAAAAGATTTTTAATAAATTTGTTATACAGAGACTATTAATGATTTATTATCTGTTCCTAAGATTATTTTAAAATAATAAAGAAATACAATTGAAGATTAAAAGATTAAAGATTGGATTCAAAATAAAGTTTATGGATTACCTGATGAACTCTATAAAGATATCACTTAAATTATGACAACCAGAGTATTTGCATTTGAAGAAATATTTGATGTTGATCATAATATAACTGTCTTGTATGAAGGCAAAGTTTAAAGAGTAAATAAAGATTTAGGATTTCCTATTAATGGTCCTCCCATTAAAATAGGTGAATTTTTAAGTGATGAATATTTATATATGGTTAAAACTGATGTCATTATTGTAGAAATACCAAAAATTGAATTAATGTAATTAATGGATGGATTCAAAATTTCAAAATTAGAATAATTTGTATAATAAATGAAATAATTTCCTGCTTTTAAATCTATTAAAAAGAATAGTTTACATAAAATTATTACAAGAGGATAATTATAATTGATTATTAAGAATTATTAAAGATTTTAAAGGGCTTCAAATTAAGAATACTTAAATATTCTCTTTTATGGCAAATTATAATTAAATCTAAGAAAATTAATAAGTAAAATGAATAAATGGCCTATTAGTTAAAATTAATGGGAAACTAAAACATATTATTAATATTAAGATAGAATATTAGAATTAGAATCCCTTAATTGTTTTGGACTTACAGATGATTAATACACTATATCGACAAGAGAAAGTTGTGTATTATTATAAATAAGAAGAAATATTTTAGAAACAAGTATTAATGCAAGAGATTAACATAGTTCTAACAACAGAATAGATAAATGATTTGAAATAATCGATTGATATATTTAAGTAAGAATCTAAAAGTTAATGGAGAGAACGAATGAGAAAAAAGTTTGATTAAGAAATTATTTAATAGAAAATAAGAATGGAAAAAGTAATGATTGCATTACTAAATAATTGATTATATAATATTAATGTCTTTTTAAATATAACATTATGTAATAGGTATCAAAATTATAATTATCAATAAGATTAGTTAATGGGAAATGGTAAATATGGAAAAATTGTGATAGCTAAACATTAATTAGTAAATGAAAAAGTCTGCATCAAAATATTAGAAAAAAAGAATCTCAAATTTAATCAAGATCTTCAAAATCTTGAAAATGAAATATAAATACTAAGATAAATTAAGCATTCAAATATAATCTAATTATATGAAGTAATCTCTATTCAATTAATATAGATTTTGGAATCTACATAAAATATTTACATCATTTTTGAATTTGGTGAGGGATATGATTTGAAACAGAAATTAAATTAATGTCAAAAGTATCATAATTATCATTTATTGATTTTCAGAAGCATAATCATTAATATATTTACAATAAATTGTAAAAGGAGTTTCATATTTACATGAAAATAATATAGTTCATTGTAAACATAGATTAGGGAATATTGTTTTATAAAATGGAAAACCTAAGATTATTGATTTTAGTGAAGCCATCAAAATAGATAAATAAAAAGATAAAGATTATTCCATAATCAAATTATCATATTAATCTCCTGAAATGTTAAACTAACTCTATTATGAATTTGATGGTTAAAAATATGATATTTGGTGTTTGGGTTTAATACTTTATTAAATGTTGTAAGGTTAATTGCCATTTGATAATATAACAAATAATAATGATTTAAAAAATAAAATTAAGAAATCTAAATTTTAAATTAATTATCCAATCTCATAATAAGTTTGTTCATTATTAGAAGCAATGCTAAATGCAGATCCAAATAAAAGAATTACACTTAAAGATTTAAAATATTTCTTAGACACATAAAATCTTATATTTGAAGATGATTATTTGAAAGTACCTATAGATATTCCAATACATCTAATAATTTAAGAATTGGAAAATTATTAGATAGAAACAGTTAATTTATTTCAATAATTAGAATAGAATAAACACTGTACATAAACTACTTGTTATTATTTAATAAAAAATAAATTAATGAAATTAGCTAAACTTAACAAAATTAAATTAAATCTAATGAACTTTGAAAATAATAAATTTAATTTTATGATAAATTTAAGAAACAGTTTATAATTTACAACTACTAAATGTAGAATTTATTAGAATGCTACTAGAGTTCATACTGAAAATAATAATACTAGATCTGATAGTTTCTCTTAACATTCATATAAATATAGATCTTTAAGTAAATAAAATAATAAGAAAACTCCATTAAAGAAATAGTTTGAATAATCTCCAAAATTATCGTAAACTTAAAATTCTTTCTTTCCTTCATAAAATTGTTCTAATATTGATTAATAATAGAATAGTATTATCAAAGGAAATAATAATAAATCTAACAATAATTAATTAGAAATAATTAATGATGGTTATTCAATATAATACGATAAATAGTAACAAAGATTAAACAACCTTTTGTTTTCTAATAAAAATTGCATTATATAAGTTAAAAATAATAAAAGAAGATCAACATCATAAAAAAATTGATATTATTTTTATGAATGTTTATCATTTTAACTACAAATGAATTAATTAATTCATTTTTATTATTTAACCTATCTTTCCACTCTAATACGTGATACTTCTAAATATTTAGGTTAAGAAAACTTCTTTCTAACAGCTTATAAATTTGATTTTTCTTATGATTGCAATACAAGACACATTTCTTTTGCACAATATCTAAGTTCTTATTCATTATATCCAGTCATTTTTTGCATCTCTTCATTCCAAGATTGGGTAGTCTTCCTAATGAAAATATATTTCTGATACCTTATTTTATGTACAAGATAAATAGCTGCTGCAGACAGAAATGATGGTTTGTAATTCATAAATTTCATATCAATCATTGATAATTCTAAAAGATATTAAGCTAAACATAAATTCTTAGTATCTAATCCTGCAATTCTACCAAATCTTTAAAGAAAACAATAACTAGATGGTTATGTAATAGAAAAGTCTAATGTTTATAATATTTATCCTTCCATATCAAGAACATCTTATTTTGTGTAAGCATTATCAGTAATATACACAAAGTCTTTCAAATCAGGTGGATATATTTCCTCATATTTACATGCTATAAATAATGAAGCTACACCAACTAATTAAAGTTATTATCTAGTTGTAGTCTTAAGATTTAGAAATCTATCTATTAAATATGTTGTAACATATAAGGTTTCCTCTCTTAATTTAAATTTAAGATGAACATCAATTAACCAATCTAATAGAATTGCTCTCATTCTTGCATTTAAGTCAGGTTATTATTATTCATTCATATAATTATTACTAACTAAATATTTTTCTTCTTGACTCAACAAATAAGTAAATATCTCTTAATTATATAATGAAATGTATTAAGGGTCTTTAATCATCTATTAATCAAAAGAACATAATTATTGAGTGTTATTTTCAACTTCCATTTTATTTTCTCTTTCTTCCTACCATAAATTTAGTTTCAGATATCTAGGTAATACAGTAAGATGCTTTGGTTTATTTCTGTCTGTGTTTTCCTTTTAGAATTCACCTGAAGAATTAACTAATTCTTTGCCGAAGAATCTATACTAATCATGAATCATTTAATTATACGTTAAAAATTATATTATTCGGTTAAAATTTATTATTATTCAATTATAATTATACAATTATATGAACTATTATACTTGAAAATCCAATCTAAATATTGGAAATTATTATTAAAAATTACTTAATGATGTAATACAATCTTAATAAAAGAATTATCAATATTAAGTATAATTAATATTTGTTGCATTATCATAACATTATTTAAATATATCATATTCTTATTTTTTGTTATATTTATATCTTAATCAACTAATATAATTATGTTGTTAATTCATTATATATCTATATCTTAATTTTGAAATAGAATATGAGAGTTATTATAAAATTATAAATAACATCTTTATAAATGTACAACATAATTATCATAATCAAAATATTAATTACTTATATATTTGTATACTTCTTTAATTTGTTTTGACTTCTCTAAACTAAATGAATAAATAGTAGGTGACATTATTCTATATTTTTATAGAATTGAGTCTATTATATATTTAATCAAGTTCATATAAATAATTTTAAGAGATTTAGAATATTAGATAGATCTATTATAATCATGTCTGAATCCTTTTATGATGCTCTGATCAATTCATTTTTAATAAGAATAATTAAATATCATCTATATATATATAAATTAATTTATACTTTTTCCTAAAACTCTTAATTCACAAGTTATTTAAATATAATAGAGAAACATAAACTTTATAGTCTTAGATTTATGATCAAAATAATATAGATTATATATAAGGATTATGCAATAATTATGATAATATTATGATAATGACTTTAACTTATCGAATTAAATAATTAATATCTTAAATAAAAAAATGAACGCCAAAGGTGCAGGATTAACATATGTTAGCGAATACAAATCTGATGAATTCAGAACATTCAGAGGTGGTTTGAGACATTTGCCTGAGAGAGCAGAGTATATGGCACATAATAGCAAGAACAATTTGTCTAATTATCATGACAAATTTAATTATGAGAGAGTAAATTATATATTTGAATTATAAGGGGTTCATTTAACACTCAAGATCATTATCTAATCAACACCATAATTTCCATTATATGTTTGGAGGACCTAAAGAATACTTATTCAAAAGACTTTTCTATGGTGCTTGGTATAGAAAGAATATAAGAAATTTCTGGTTCCCTGCTGTGTTTAGTTATGGACGTAAGCATTTTACTATGAAATAGTTGGTTGTTTCTGCATGAGATTATATGATAATGCAGCCCATGACTTCTTTTATTTCACCGATTGAGATAATTACATAATAATAATACATAAATAGTATAAAACCAGAATTCATAATAATCTTTCTAATATGATTTTTTCAAGTAATAAATTATTTCTTAAAATACTTTCTTCACTAAACCCTAATTATTTCTTAAACTTTTAATTTTGAGGAAGTATTTTTTCAACAAATGAAAATTATTCAGTAATAAATGGAGCCCTTTTCTCATATTCAGGTAATTTAACAATTATTTTATTTGTATATTTATTGTTTAATTTGATATAATCGCATAACATTTTTTTAGCCTTTTCCTTATTCCATTTCTTAAAATTTGGTAGACTAACACGATTATCATCATTAGCCATTTTATTTATTCTTTATTTACATTAAGATAAATTCATTTTTTATAAGGATTTTTATCTTTAATGATTAGATACAATCACATCCTTTATTTGTATGACTCTTTCTGTGTTTAAATATTCTAAACTCCTTAATTTATTTGATTATAAATTCCGAAGTACCATTCTAGGACTCTTTTAAACAATATCAGGCAGTATAGAACTTTCTGTTTAGGTTTAAGTCCCTATATTAAGTTTCAACTTTTATTGCAATGAATTCATTAATTTAATTAAAGTTAATACAAATTATTTATATTTCAATCAAAATCTTCCTAATCTCCACTAAAATCATATTCTATTCTTTCATGATTAGCTAATTTACCATCTATAAATAGAAATGTATCACTTTTAGTTTCCCATGAATTTAAGAGCATTTAATCCTTTAGATTAGTACCTAATGCAGGTTAATCATACATGGATTCCCAAGTATTAGTGGAATGTGGAATGCAAAAAGGAAATCGAAATTCATATTCTTTAATAAGGTTGTTTTTAAAATAAAATCTATAGATTGGTATTTGTTAAATACCTATCAATAAGTAATAAATTCTTTAATGGCTTATCAAAAGTTTTGAATATTTTTGTTGCTCCTAATGTCTTGATATCAAAATATTAAGGTGTAAATTAATAACTTAAAACTTCTTATTATTGATTTTCTTCATCATTATCAAAATCAAATAAAATAAAATTATCATCAGCATCTCTAAGTATAAATTTAATAAATTTAATTTCATCTGATGGTTTGCATAAAAATTTATCACAAGGCATTGTAAATGTTCTCACAATTTCAGGAGTGACAACTTTTTACATATTAAATTAAATAGAGATGTTAATTTAATAATTTAAATTTAATTACAAAATGTTAAGAAAAGCTAGATAAATAGAAACTCATTCACTTCACTATTCAATTAGTTAAAGTGAAATAAAAAGAACTTCATACTTTACTAATCTATCCCATAGATATAGATCTTAATCAATTGATCTAAGCAATCAAAAAATCAAATAACCTAATTAGCAAAAAAAATCAAAATAGAAACCAAGAATGCAAATAAATCCAGTAAAATTTCAGATCTTTAAATCAAATAAGCCACTTACAGAATTCAAAGAGTTCAAATTAAGAACAGCTGATAGATGTAAAAGTAGAGAAAATGTGAGAATAAGAGAACAAAATAAAGAGAATAAAGAAAATATATTTATTTAATATAATAAAAAACTATGAAATTATGTTCAATCATCATTCAAAATAAAAGAGGGCAAAATATCTTTGTTGTCTCATCCAATGATTATTCTCATGAATTATCATTATAACATTCTAAGGATATATACAACTACATTCTTAGTCAAATTAGTATTCATAAATTAATCATTTAGAGACAGGAAAAAAGATTGATAGATCTATTGTATTAGATTCAAATTATGTTTGTATTTGCAATGTAAATAAAGATGTAATTACAATCAACCTAATGACTTTAGGCAATATTTTTAGTTATTGTATAACGAAATGAATTATTCTTGGGATATGAAGCTATCAAAAAATTAGCAGAATTCTATGCTACATATTATAAGTAAGAAATCACTACTAGAAAATATTAAGAAGTAATTTTTCAATTCTATTCTTAGATGTTACTTTTATTAGAAGAATTTTTATACACTAAAGAATTTTTACCTCAAAAATTATAATTTAATTTAACAGTTAAAGTCCCTGTTTCCTCTAGATGTATTGCAGATTGTGATCATCTTTAAAAGTTTTCATCACTCTAAGCCACAATTGAAAAAAATCTAATTGCTAATATACCTCTCAAATATGCAAAGAAATAATAAATTATTGAAAAAGAAATAGATATTATAAACATATTTATTAAACCAATAACAAATTTAGATGAATATAAGCCAAACTAAGAAGAACTTTAATGGAAACAAAAATTCAAAAAAAGTCTTTATGATTGTGCCTTTAAAATGAAGAGTAAATAAGTTCACAAAGAAAATATCTTCCAAAAATATAAACCACAAAAACCAAATACTTAATATAAATAACATGCATAAAAATCAACTTAATTACTAAATTAATATAAGGGTATAAGCAGTTCAGATATATAAATAATGAAGCTTATTTTTTAAAGTTAGATACAAAAAGGATAATAGGATCTTTCTAATTAATAAAATAAATAATAATCATCAAAACCAATCTAGTAGTAACATACTAGATAAATTAATTTATTAGATTATGGTGAAAATTTTACATCAGTTGAAGCCCCAAAAATATTGCCTTAATAAGTTTAAAGTTCTAATGAAGAATAACCAAAAACTAATCCTATTTAAGTAAAACCAAAATTATAATAAAATGCAAATGATCTATTGGATTTAGATGATAGACCACATCATTAAGTATAACCATAAATTTAATAAATATCTGGTCCTGATTTATCATTTTTAAATTTATCTCCAGTAAAATAATTAGAACCTTGCTTAAAAATGCTGGAGAAAATGATTATTGCTTAAAAAGATGGTAGATTGAAAGAATTAAAAATATATGGATAAATTGCTTTAGATGGAGATTTTACATTTGATGATTAATCTAATCTTTAACTTTTGGGATAATATTGGTAAGATACATATGGATGTTAAAGAAGGATAACTCCAAATTCATTAGATTTGCAATTATTGAATGAGAATAGTTATAAAATGATTGTTAAAAATGCTAGTTATAAGGTTCCAAAGGGCATTATTGATTATATCATTCCAACAAAAGCATTTTCTTAATAAAGGATACCAGTTATATTTTTATATAGATTGGAATGTGTCTAATCATTTGCCAGTTATTGTCTATAATATAAAGTAAATGATTAATGGTAAGTTCCATTATAAGATATTGTTATTGAAGTCAATCTAGAAAAGGATGTAGAATATGATGATTTAAAAACAATCCCAGTAGCATAAAATATTACTGATAAATAAATAACTTGGAAAGTACAAATATATATTTAAATAGGCTAAATAATTACTATAATAGTAAAAAGGTAAATTGATTTTGAATCTTACAGGTATTAAGAAGTAAGGATCCTAAATTTTAAATCATATAAGAATTAGTTTAAAAGCTAATGTAATTGATAATACTTAATTTAGACATCTGTTATTGAGAATATGGATAGCATAATGTTTTATAATAGCTAAGAATACAAATGCTAGAAAAAGCTGAGTGTTGAATACAAAATATATCCGAATTCTTGATATTATTAAATATATAAATTAAAATTTTGAAGAATGAGTGAAGCTTAAGCAGACCGTATCTTATCAATTGCAAATCAAGAGACAGTTAATAGATTATTTAGAGTATGCTATAAATAAATTACAGGTTAAAAATAAATTCAATAATTAGGTTAAAGACCTGTTGGTAAATTTTAAGATAGCGATCATCAAGCTGTATTGAATTGTCACAGAAGATTGGTTGAAGTACTAAAAATTGTTGCACCTGCAATTGTACCTTTAAGAGAAGAATGATTTAATTATTCAAATCGTTATCATCAAAATCAGAATATTTAATTAGCTACACAATTCATTTATATATATGTTATTTTTAATATGACATTCATCTTCTCATTCCCATAGGAGGTCTACCTGGTTATCCTTTAGGTTTCATTTTTGTATCTTAATCAGATTTTGGATTTTTAACTGTTTCATCAATTGATAAAATTGCGCATGCAGCCTTTCAAATAAATATAAATAAAAACCTCTGTTGCTGAACAAAGAGCATTTCTTTTGACTAAACTAGGTTCCCAAACAAAAGAAGAATGTGTATCACAGACACCTGATTATCCATTGATATCTACTCCATACCATCTACCTTCTTCTCCACCTTAAGCATGTCTTTATCTAAGTTTATTCATAATTTCAATTGAATTTAATCCAGCATTTTCAGCAATAGTTCTTGGAATAACTTCTAATGCTTTAGCATAGGAATTAACAATATATTATGTTTTGCCAGTCACAGATCTAGCATAATGTCTAAGATATCTAGACAATTCTAATTCAATAGCACCTCCTCCAGCTACAATTTTGTTAGCTTTAAAACATCTTCTGACAATCATAATAGCATCATTTAAAGATCTTTCAGCTTCTTAAATAAATTATTCTGCTCCACCTCTTAAAACAATTGTTGCTGTTCTAGACTAAGATTTATAGTTTATAATTATAATACTTATGGACAATTTTTAAATAAGTTATATCTTTCTGCTCCAACTTAAACTTCTTCAAATAATCCACATGTTCCAAATGTTTCTGGATTTAAACCATTTACAGTTGTTTATACTTAACCTCCAGTAGCCTGATTTAAATAATTGATTTAATTACTTTTTAAACTCTAAGAAGATCTTCTTAAGGAACTCTTCCAGCACAAAAGATATTTCTGTCAGCAAAATATTGTGTAGCTAAATCTCCAATAGGAAGTTTTGATAATACTATTTAGGCACCTGCTTTAACAATGATTTCTAATTTTTCATAAATCAAAGCCCATTCAGCATCTACAATTTATTGATATTCTTCTGGTTTTTCAATTCTGATTTCTGCATTTTCCTTTTCACTTTTAAGTTCTAATTCTAAATTTAATAAACAAATTTTAGGATTTTCAAATCTCTTTGGTTATTATTCAAAACCAGCATATGAAAATGTTTTCTTGAATGCAACTCCATCAACTAAAAATGAATCAGTTACACTTCCTCCTGTTACATTCTTAATTCCAATTAAATCTCTATCTAAAATATTTGGATCTAACTTCTCAACTGCTGATACAACTAATTCACTAAAGAATTATTTAGTATTGGCTAACTAATTAATATTAATTATTATTATTATACTAATTTTGAATTCAAAGCTGTTTAAGCACATTTCAATAAAGTGTCTCTCTTATCTTCTGGAGAATCTCGAGAAATATTTATTGAGAATCCTTCTAATTTTTCTAATGCTAATTCCAAAGCTTTTCTATATCCTTAGATCACTATTTGTGGATGGATTCCTTCTTCAATAAATGGTTTGGCTTCTTTAAGCAATTCTGCAGCCAACAATGTTGTGGATGTTGTACCATCACCAACTTCATCATCTTGGGATTTGGCAATGTCGACCAATACTCTAGCAGCTGGATGGACAACTTCTAATAAATTTAGAATTGTAGCTCCATCATTAGAAATGGTAACTTTTGGACCAGTCTAAATCATTTTATCCATTCCTCTTGGGCCAAGGGTGCTTTTTACCACATCAGCTACAGCTTAAACAGCATTGATGTTAGACACTATTTAAGCTCTTCCTTATGAAGTGTCTGTGCCTTCTCTCAATAATAAGATGGTTGGTTGTAAGAATTGGGACATTTAATACACAATTTTATTTATTTAAATTTGAGGCATTTTCTTTTACAAACATTCATTTTCAAATATACTAATCAAAATACCATTAAAATGAATAATTTCATCTGAATAACATTATTACATATATATATATTTATTTTAAATAATCAGAATAAATGATATTAAATTATATTTAATAATGCAATATCACCTTAACTAAATTTCAGCAATGTCTTATATTTAAAAATTAGGTATCATTGTACTTGCTGGAGACAATATTAAATTTATAAATCTATAAAAGGAAAAGGTTTAATAAGAAATTAAAACAGAAAAGTTTTTAAGAATATTTTAATTGGTATATAATGAGCAAGATAATAACTTATACTAATTCAATCAAAATAAAACAATATTCAGATATAGATTAAAAGGAAAGATGTTTATATTAGATAAACAATTTAAATTAGAATATGTATTTTATCCTACTTTAGCTACAGTAACTCATGATAATTAAACTATCATTATTGCAGGAATGGATACCAATTTAATTGTGATTTATAATATGATTAATGAATGCTAGTTTATGATAGAACTTCCAAATCCTGAACTTTAGAATTATTGTTTATTATATAATAATAAAAATAGATGTATTTTAACCTAATCTTGTTTGATAAATGTTGAAAATAAAAAAGTGATCCGATCAATCAATACTATTTATTAAAAGATTAAAGGATGGAGTAAATGTGGTAATTTTTATTCAATGTAAGATAAATAAAAAATATTTATCACTTCTTCTTTTAAACAAAAAATATTGAGGATTATTTCTGATAATAATTTCATTCCTTATTAAATATTTTCAGAAACAGGAAAATATTACTGTTTTTAAAGATCATAGAATAAAATTGAATTCTATGATATTTCTACTGGTATTAGTCACTTTATTATTGAGAAGAATTTATTGAATTGTAACAATTTATAATTTCATGAAAATGACTAAGTTTTTTCAGCTATTGTTAATGATAAATCAATTTATATATGGAATATGAATTAAATTATTTGAGAATTAAGTAAGTCTTGATTATTTATCAAAAATTTTAATGATGAATATTCAAAACAAAATTCTCTAAAGAATAAAATATAATTTTGAATCTATTATATGAAAATTAATTCTTTATTTCTCCATTAATATATCATTTAGAAAGTATTCTAAAATTAATATAAATGAATATTACAATTTTTTTTACTAGTTATCATATAAATTTAGAGTCTGAATTAATATATATAATTGGTTAATATACTTTTTTTGCTTTAGTCAATATAATATTACATAATATTTATTTATATTTAATAACAAATCAATCAAAATCATCATCTTTTTAATTTTTCTTCATATGCAATTTAACCATAGCTTTACCAATGGCTCCAATCCATGCTTCCTTCTCTTGATTGTTATTTGACATCAAAAAGAAAGTTGTTTCTGGTGTATCAATTTTCTAATTTTATTTACAAATATACAAATGTATTTTCTTTGTTTGTTTCTTCTTAACATGATTTAATTGTACTTATAGTTGATAAAGGAATAAGCTCTGTTGGATTACTATATTATTTTTCTGCCTTGAATGTATATAAGGTTGTTGTTGTTAAAACAAACCATCGTCTGAAATGAATAAATAATATAGAATACTTTCTCCAAGATTTAAATACACGAGATTCTTTTTCTAACCAGCCTTCTTTCATAATATTTTTGAGATCTTCAAGCATGTTGTTTTACATTAGATAAAATCTATATTTATATAATATATATTATTATTTATGCTTCCTATATTTTTTAAATCAATTTATATTGTTTTTCATGGTGCCTCATATTCTTTGATATCATCATCTTCTAATTAATTTTAAGCTTCTTCGATATCTTAATCATCAATAGAGTTCTTTTCATTCTCTATATCTGTTGGAATATAATAGCCATCTTGATCATAGAAATGTTCATGATAGACATCACCAGGGTGCAAAACAAACCATCCAGCTGGTTATCCATCTTTATCATAATGACACCCATTCTCATCTCTCCATCTTTAAATTATAATTATACATCTCTTACCCTCCTTCAGAATCAAAAAAATATTATTATTAATTCATTAGAAATCCTATAACTTTATCATCTTCATCCTTTAATTCAACATATTAACTAAACTTTTCTGGTTAATGTTATGGAGCATCTTTCAAAATTGGATTGTCAAAAGGATCAACTCTAAGCCAATTTTACGAGAATTCTTTACTCTCTTGCATTTATCAATTAATTTTTGATAATTATATATATAAGTCCCTCCCCCCCTCTTTTTCATATATAAATACATAAATTTTTAAAGAATTTTAATAGAAAATACATTTAACAATATGAGTGGAAGTAATTATGACTCACAAATCAATTAAGAATTATCTCAAGAATATGAATTGTATGGCCTGTTAAAAGCGAACTTAGGAGATAATATATTCTATGTTGAACCTATATATTATTAAGATTAAATGAGAGATTTCAATTAAAGGAATCCTACTTATGGAGTGACAGTGGAATACAAATTTTTAAGGACAATATAATCATGTGATTTTTTGGAAAGCTCCTAATTGTAATTTTTCATCAATCTATTCAGAAAAGCATATAAAGATGTCAAAGTGATTATTAATTATTAAAATAGTTAGCTGCTGCTACATGTCACTTTTTTGCTGACTTTATAGTATCATTATAAAAGCCAATTAATTTTTCATAATAAAACCAGTCAACTAGTAGTTTTTAAAGACAAGATATAAATTATGAACCTTAAAATTAATAAAAAGTAGTGGATCCTTAATCTTAAATAAAATTTAAAGAAGATTTTTTGGAATCAAAAGTTCTTGATAAACCCATAATTTAGAATCCTGAATAAAACATAGCAAAATCTTCAATTATAACAAAAGGAACAAATATATCTAATGATGCCTAAAATTCTATAATATCCAATTAATAAACAATATAATCGAATATTCAATTAAATCAAGACTAAAAATATACTCAATCTTAAATATAAATTTAAAATCCATTATAATAAGATAAAACAATTAATAGACAAGCTTAATCAGCAATTTTCCCAAATAAATTGAAAGAAGAAGGAATTAATCATGATTTTGTAACTGAGAAATCATCATTAATTTAAGAATAATAAATTACAATTGATAATTAAGCATCTCAATAGGGTTCAATTATTATTAAAACAGATAAAAATTTAAATTAATAGGATATTAACATTTAATCAATTACATAAAAGTCCCTCTAGATACAACCAAATAAAGAACAAGAAAAAAGTACAATTAATGAAGAACAAAATGTACCAAAAAATAATTAATCATAAATAATTTAATAATAATTTATTAATTCAAATGTCACCACTCCATTTTAAAATATAGATATAGAAAAAGAAAGTCAAAAATCAAAATTAACTTTAGATCAATAAAAAATTGAATCTACTCAAGTAGAAAATCTTAAACATTAATCTTAAATTGAAAAATCAAACCAATAATCTTTAGTTGAATAGAAATAATAATAATTTCCTCCCATCTAGCCAGTAGTTGAAAATATATAAGTATAACCTCCCCCTGAAAAAAAATATCATTTTCAAATTACAGGTATGACAATAGAAAAACCAGTTTAATAAGAAAAAATAAAAAAATCCTAACTTCCTTCCTTAATAAAATAATTGGCTGAAATGAATAACTTAACAGAGGAGGAATTAAAATAATAAGATTATTGGTATTTTCCCATAAATTAATTATAATCTCATTGGATTAGTGTTGTGATATATTTGAAAAAAAAAGTAATTTATTACTTTGACTCTTATTATAAAAAAATTGAATCTGTTATCATATAAGGGATAAATTCTATATTAGAATACTTTAATTTGAACCCATAAAACTTCTAAATAATACCAGTATATAATTAATAAATTAATGGGTATTATATAATTTTAGTTTAGATATGATTGTGGTGTTTTCATATTGCTGTCCCTTTTATATACTTTACAAAAAAAAGAATATAATTATAATTAAAAAGTTGCAACACTTTACAGAAAAAGTATTCTCTACAATTTGGCTGTTATAGGGGCTTAATAGGATATAGATTAAGACTATCTGGAATTTATTATTGATTAACATTGAGCTTATAAAAAATAAATATAATTTAATTAGTAATTTTTTCATAATTCTAGACAGAATGAATAGAGAAATTAATCCAAACTATAAATCAGAATTATATTAAATTATAAAAACATTTCATCAAAATTTAAACAAAATCTTTATTATTAGAGTAGGTTAAGTAGTTAAAGAAAGGTTAATATCAATAAAAATGAAAGATAGAATTTATTTTAAAAGCGTTAGGGCTCTTTGAAATTATTTAAACAACACATATATTGATAAAGAAATAGATACAAACTCATTTTTTCCAAGGTTTAGTTTTAAATTATTTTTATACATATGGATTTGCATTATATACTGCATTTGGGGAATGAGCTCTTTGCCTATTACCTATAGGTTTAAATTATGTATTTGGTTAAATAGTTAGATCTTATCTTTAGCTTCCAGTAGTATTTTTCTTATATGGAGTAACTTATAATCTAGGTGCTCTTAATTAATTAGGTGCTGTTTGCGGCCTACGATCATTTTATACAACTCCTTAAGTTGAATCCTAATTGATTTTTTATTACTATTTCAAAAAAAACTATTCTCCTGAATCCATATAAGTATTTGGTTATTTCTTAGGCTTTAATGATTCTAAAATTAACTTAATACTTACAAGTAGCTTCAGGTAATTATGATATTTTTGAACTATCACTCTTAGCAACAACTCTTTTAACATCTTAAGATGAAGGTCTTTGATGAACTGGTTGGATTGGTTATAAAGGTTAAGTCTATGACATTAAATTAGTTTAAGGACCAGGAGATTATTAAATTTATTATTCATATTAAAGTGTCTTTCCAGTAAGACAAGATTTAGTTTCAATAGATTAGGTTTATTTCTTTTTATTGAATATTATTTTTTCATAAGGAGGTATATACATAGTAATTTTTTCAGCAAAACGTAATCTAAGTTTTAATTTAATATTAATTTACTTTTAAGTTTTAGGTTTTTAATCATGATCTTTAAATTCAGCTACTCCTTAAGGTTAAGCATTTAAATATGTATTTCTTAATACCATTTCTTCTGGGTCTCCTTAAGAATAGACTTCTTCCCAATTATAAGTTTTTGCACCACATCCATTCTTTTAGAATTTACTTTCTATTGCCAAAAGTTAATTAAAAAAATTAGCTCTGATCTCCAAATCTGGTCTTCTACTATGCATAAATTATAAAGTTTTATATAATGTCCATCTATATTTTTTCATAAAATAAACACAAAGAACAGCAATTGATCTATTATGTCCTCTTATTGAATGTACAATAACACTTTCTCCATTATTCAATGCATCATCAAGAAATTTAATTACTTAATTAATAAGTTCCTCTTGTTAGAATATTACCTCATTATATAAAATGTTACTTGAGTATCGTTATCAATCCATGGTAATGACATATATACTATTCCAATTGATTCCCAATGATTTGGAATTTATTTACAAGCACAATTAATAATTCTGGAAACCTTATTAGTTACAATAAATTCTAAGTCCTAAAAGGCTGATTCAACTATCTACCTAAGAAGCAAATTAATCTCCTAAAAATAACCCATCTTTTATTTTGATAGCACCGATATAGTCGTATTCCATTATATTGTTAATATTATAATATATATAAGAAATAATTATTCCAATAAATAAAAATCAATCAAATTAAAATAACATTCTTTAATTCATCAACTGATATTCTTTTCATTGATAATTAGCAATTTTATTGAAAATCCATACTTCTTTAAAAAAGAACCAATTCTAAAGAACATAAAAATTTGTTGATCTTATATAGACGTATAAATTTTTAAATATTCTCCATTTTTTGAGAAAATTCAAATATTAATGAATTTTCTGAAGATATTCTAGTTTTTATAACAATAAAATCATTTTCTCGATTTGCAATCATTAAAATTCTACAAATCTATAGAAAATAAACAGAAAATTAATTTTTAGATCCTATTAAACTAAAATCAACACTTTATTATTCAGCATTAACTAAAATATTTGTTGCTCCAATAAACTTTATCACATTCTTCAATATTTCAATTGGATAATAATGAATTTCTTTATTTCCATATAAATAAAATCCAGATATAAATTGAATAGAAATATCAAATAATAATGTTTTATACTTTTAAGGTTTCTTAATACACTTGAAAAGTTATCTAATCAATCTATAAAAATGATTAATTTTCTTAATAGCAACTATTTCTTATAATGATTATTATTAAATGTTTGTAAATTTAATTAAGAAATTGATTTTATCAGTAATTGTAATTATTACATCAATTTAAGAATAACATCGATATGTAAATGAAAATTCATCAATTGTATTACCTTTTTAAAATGAACTCGTTATTTAACTATATTTTTCTAACAAATAATTTTCTAACGTTTAATTTCCAAAATGAATATATCTAATTAAACTTCTTAAATTACAACCATCACAAAGATTTAAGTTCCATCTCTTAATCTTATTTTACTTACTTATTAGAATTGGTTAAAATTATTCTTATTCATATTCAAACAATATAAATGGATCTGACATAAATTTCGGTAAGTATTGTACTATATTTTAAAAACATTTTTACAATATCGATCTTCCTTAACAGTCAATAAAAACTGTTATCTCTTTGCTTAGCCTATGAAATAATAAGAAACAATTGAAATAATTGTTATAAGTACACTAAACTAAATTGAAACCATACTCAAACTCTCTTTATAATATTGAGTCATTATGATTAACTTTAAAATACATTGTATTACAATTTATGGTACTATTTAATAAAATTCTAAAGACATCATAAGTAGCATTTATGATGCCATAACATTTGACCCAAGAACAAAACTCCTTTATTAACCATATACATTGTCAACCCAAAATTAAACTAAAGAGAATGTGTAATTTAACAAAATCATCGCAGTTGATGAGTATTTAGGATATCCAGATATCACAATCAAAGACAGTATTGAAATAATCAATCCTGGAGTTTATAATTCAATTCTTGAAGGAGCATTTTAAGATTAATCGGAAATTAGCTTTCCTAAATGCAATAGAACAGATGATATTGATATAACTTTAAAAATAAGGGTTTGATAGTAAACTTATTGTTTTGCTTGATATTAATTTTCCAAAGCCTAATTCTCAAATTTAAGTGTCCATTTATTCATTTAATTAAGTTATAATATTTGTTATCTCATCATCTATGAGAATAATTTGAATACAAAAATAAACTTAATATATTATATTTTCATATTGTATTAGGTTCAGTCTAATTGATTCGTCTTTAATTTCTTAAATTTAAAAATTCTTAATTTCTCCATTTAAATTAAACCTAGAAAAAGTCTTAAATTAAGATTAAACATCTTTGATATTTTACTAATGGTTGGCTTCTTAATTTTCCTGTATTTATTAATCCTTACTAAAACTTTATTTATTTTAATCAATTTAAAAATTATTAAAATAATTAATAAAGCATCTCCAAAAATTAAGTCTCCTTCTTAATCCTCTTTTTCAAAAGCTAATTATTATTTTCGAATTTCCTTCTCATAAGCATCACCTTACTATGAAGTAGGTTAATTAACCTGAAGAAAATAAGATTATTACAATAGTGGATCATTCCTCACTGGTAAATCAAAAATATTATTAATTTATTTAAATACAATAAAAGGTGATGTAGAATTTTCAAAATTCTACAGGAATCAATTTATTTAATTAAACATAATTCTTTACAAGAATAATTACTATGGCCGTTTGATTATAATTACAATCATTTTTAGTCTTTAGAAAAATAATCAATAGGTTTTGATCATTCCTAAAATACTTATTTTTCTATATTAGATCTCATTTTGATATTACTAATTTTAGAAAAAAAGTAATTAGAAAGGCTTTAAGATTTTTAATATAGTTTATTATAAATTTGAGTTTGAAAAAGTTTACTAAATCCTTTTCTACTTTTATGTTTTATTAATATCTTAATTTAAGTTTTATCTTTAAATTCTTATAAATAATAATTAATTTATTATTTACCTAATTTTAATTATAAAGNTTAATAAAATTCTAAAGACATCATAAGTAGCATTTATGATGCCATAACATTTGACCCAAGAACAAAACTCCTTTATTAACCATATACATTGTCAACCCAAAATTAAACTAAAGAGAATGTGTAATTTAACAAAATCATCGCAGTTGATGAGTATTTAGGATATCCAGATATCACAATCAAAGACAGTATTGAAATAATCAATCCTGGAGTTTATAATTCAATTCTTGAAGGAGCATTTTAAGATTAATCGGAAATTAGCTTTCCTAAATGCAATAGAACAGATGATATTGATATAACTTTAAAAATAAGGGTTTGATAGTAAACTTATTGTTTTGCTTGATATTAATTTTCCAAAGCCTAATTCTCAAATTTAAGTGTCCATTTATTCATTTAATTAAGTTATAATATTTGTTATCTCATCATCTATGAGAATAATTTGAATACAAAAATAAACTTAATATATTATATTTTCATATTGTATTAGGTTCAGTCTAATTGATTCGTCTTTAATTTCTTAAATTTAAAAATTCTTAATTTCTCCATTTAAATTAAACCTAGAAAAAGTCTTAAATTAAGATTAAACATCTTTGATATTTTACTAATGGTTGGCTTCTTAATTTTCCTGTATTTATTAATCCTTACTAAAACTTTATTTATTTTAATCAATTTAAAAATTATTAAAATAATTAATAAAGCATCTCCAAAAATTAAGTCTCCTTCTTAATCCTCTTTTTCAAAAGCTAATTATTATTTTCGAATTTCCTTCTCATAAGCATCACCTTACTATGAAGTAGGTTAATTAACCTGAAGAAAATAAGATTATTACAATAGTGGATCATTCCTCACTGGTAAATCAAAAATATTATTAATTTATTTAAATACAATAAAAGGTGATGTAGAATTTTCAAAATTCTACAGGAATCAATTTATTTAATTAAACATAATTCTTTACAAGAATAATTACTATGGCCGTTTGATTATAATTACAATCATTTTTAGTCTTTAGAAAAATAATCAATAGGTTTTGATCATTCCTAAAATACTTATTTTTCTATATTAGATCTCATTTTGATATTACTAATTTTAGAAAAAAAGTAATTAGAAAGGCTTTAAGATTTTTAATATAGTTTATTATAAATTTGAGTTTGAAAAAGTTTACTAAATCCTTTTCTACTTTTATGTTTTATTAATATCTTAATTTAAGTTTTATCTTTAAATTCTTATAAATAATAATTAATTTATTATTTACCTAATTTTAATTATAAAGATAGAATATAAAGTTATAATCTTAAATCTAATTTTTTAATAATTTCTTATTATTTATGTATTTGATTTATCTATTATTTTGCATCTTAAATTGTAAATAATTACTTTACCATTATAATTTTTTAATAATTTAAATTATAAATATTTTTATTACTGCTATCAACTATAAGTCTTGTAATTGAATTAATTGTAAAATTATAATATTCACGTCTCAATCTTTATATTCTCCATTGTCAGTTTTCCTCATCATTTCTTTTAATTTCTTTCTCAATCTAAAATAATTTAGATATTCTAACATTTTATCTCTAGGAGGTTCATTTTCACTATCTATACTTTAACTTCTAGATACTCGATATTATGGACTACTTCTATTTTTAGGACTTCTACTTCTGCTTCTACTTTTAGAGCTAATTAATTAATAATTTAATATAAGAAACTTTCTTCTTCTTTGTTTCTTTTCTTTTTCCCTCTCTCTCTCAAATCTATCATAATTTCCTCTTGATTATCTTTAATTAATTTCTTTATATACCCTCTATCATCCCTTGGTCGATCTCTTCTAGGTTCTCTATTCTCATCATATCTGCCTGACTTTTTAGACCACTCAACATTAATTCTCAATCCTTTGTAATTTCAATAACATATTAATCTATACCCTATAAATCTCTTTAATGTAATGCATTTTTTGCAGCTTCTGCTTCTTATTCACTTTTATATTAAATGAATGCATACTAATATATTATTAAATGTATTTACTCTGTCATTATTTTTTACTCTAAAATCTACAGTGCAATCACCATAGACCTTAAATTCTCTTTCTATATCCTTCTACTCAACTAATCTTGAAATATTGCCTACAAAAAGACTCATTCTTGCATTCCTAAATTATTGTCTGCTCATTATAAATTATATGATTTTAATATAAATTATATTTAACTGAAAACATTTAATAAAAAGTTAAAAAAATAATAATCGTTCAAGAAATGAGTTAGTTAACGGAAAGTCCAAATAGATTAAATGAATAGCATAGCATTCCTCAAGATGAAATAATTGACAAATCATAAAAATTAGCAACATCCTCTCCAGATAAAGAGAACTCTTAAGAATTGTTTAGATTGTAGAAATAATAATTCTTACAAAAAATGACTTAAGACAATTCAACAAGACGTTAAAAAAAAGTAATAAATTTTTTTTAATTATTCTTAGATAATTGGAGATATTAAAGATGTAGTTAATGTGAATAAACAAATTGTTAATTTTGGATTGGTAATACCTGGTAATATTTGTGAAGATGATATATAATTTTAAAATCTATCCACTGAGACAGTTATAATAGGCATATAAGTAATATGCAATAATACAGAATTTGATGATCTAGATGAATATGTTTATTCAGCTAGAAAATTAAATGGATATGATTATAATGATCGTTTCATGTTAGCATGTCCAGCTCAAAAACAATTCTCTATGAAAATAGCTTTAAAGGTTCCTAACATTAAAGAATAGAAAGGACTTTTTGGTACTATAATAATTACAGCCTCTTATTCTAATCATTCAAAAATTTAAGGTCAAATTAATACTTAAATTTAAAGTCAAATTACACTTCCTTCTATTGAATGTCCAAAAACATTAATGAATTGTATATTTCAATCAATAAATTAGCTGCATATAATCTACCTGTAATTCAAATGGCATTTAAATTGGGTAAGAAATTAGATTGCAAAATTCCCTTTAGGAATAATAGTTTGATAGGATTACCACTTGAAATGGAATTTCTGAATAAAAATGATAATGAAATACTTATCAATCCTCCAACTCTATCTGTATAGGGGAATTCTTAATTCTTAGTTACAATCTATATAAAAAGCAAACAAGAATAGATTATTAAGAATGTTTTAATAGTTAAAGTTAAAAATTCCAATGTTCATTTTAGTTATCCATTTATTATCAAAATATATTGATTTTTACTAGATTATAAAATAAAACTATGATTCAATCAATAAGATATAAATTAATTTGCAAACACTTTTATCATAAAATTTTGATTATTATAATAATTAATTGCTTCTACTATGTCATTTAACAAAAAAGGAAGAGAAGATTTGATGCAAATAACAAACGATGAAGATGGGAGAGAAATTAATCCACACATGCCTCAATATATTATAAATGCTCCATGTATGATTAAAACATGATCTTTTAGGGTATTTAAAGGAAAGTACACCATCATTAAAACATTAAAGAATAAGAAAATAATAGAACACAAGTACATTTGATAATTGGTATCAAAGAGGATCAAAAGTATAATCTTATTGTGATATAATGATAGGGTCCAAATAATTTAAAATTTAAAAAAGGAGCATGTACTAATTGTGGTTCTACAACTCATTAGAGTAAGGATTGTTGTGAAAGACCAAGACAAATAGGAGCTAAATTCTCTAATACAGATATTTAACCAGATGATATTGTATTAAATGTCTAAGGTCTAAACTATGATGCAAAAAGAGATAGATGGAATGGCTATGATCCAGAAACTTATAAGTCATAAATATAAGAATATGAGATTTTAGAGGAGAAGCGAAAAGAAGCAAGACTATAAGAAGGATAATAAACAGAATCTGGCAACTTAGATGATGAATTTAAAGATAATGGAACTGGTGAACACTAAACTTAAATGACTACTAGAGATCCAAGAACTAAAACTATGACTAGGAATTTACGTATTAGAGAAGATAGAGCCAATTATTTATTGAATTTGGATGTTAATTCAGCATATTTCGATCCAAAATCTAGATCTTTAAGAGAAAACCCAAATCCACATTTACCTCCTGAGAAATAAGTTTTTAAAGGTTTAAATTAAATTAGATTGACTGGTGAAACTCTATAAATGTATGAATAAGAAAGATTTGCATGGTAATATGCAGAATAACATAATTTAAATTTAAATACTGTATCTTTACCAACTTTGACTGAAAAGACTGTATGATATTTATATTTATTAAATTAGTATAAATAAATTAAGGCAAAAAAGGAAGAATAAAAAATAGGAAGAGCTGAGAGTTTGTTCGATAGATATGGTGGAGAAGAACACTTAAATCCACAAATAGATTTGTTATTAGGATAAACAGAAAGATTTGTTGAATATGAAGAAGATGGTTTACCAAAGAATCCTTTAAAAAAGAAAGATTTAACTAAAAGCAAATATTTAGAAGATTTCTTTTATGGTGATCATACAAGTGTATGGGGTAGTTGGTGGAGTGATGTTCTTGGATGGGGTTATGATTGTTGTTATTCAAATGAAAAACATTCAGTATGTTTAGGAGAAAAAGGAAGAAGATTATAATTAAATAAAGAAGCTAGATTAAAAAGAGAAATAGAAGAAGATTTATAAAAAGCATAAATATAAGATTAAAAATCTAGTCCTTAACATTAACATTAAAACTAACATTAGTAACCTCAACAATAAATTATTCAATAAGCTTAATAACAATGAATTTATTTATATTTATTGTTATTTTAATGTTTTAAATTCATAAAATAAATATATATAGACTTATGTTTACTAAATAGAAATCTCTTTATATATAATTATAATTTAATTTACTTAAATTTCTAAACTTAAGATCTTATAGATTGTACAAAAGTCATAAATATATATATTATAAATAAATAAAATAATTATAATTAGACCATCTATCATTATAAAATACTCAATTCTTTTTTTAAAGTTATTTCATTATATATTGTATTCTAAATAATTTTAATATTTATTTACTTTAAATAATAGTAGAGGCTCCAAATCTTTAGATGTCTCAATATAACTAGATAGGAAATTTAAAACTTCTGATCTCACTTCTTAATCCATTCCAATATTGTAAAATTGAAAAGGAATTTTCTTTTCTGTTAGGATTCTAGCTATTTCACAATTTAAATCAGGCTATCCATCTATCAATATGATGTATTTTGATATTAATTAAATCTACTCTAATTTTGAAGTCTTATTCATGAAAGCTTCATTTGGTATCAATTCAGAAAATTTCTTTTATTCAATTAATTCAACTGTTGCCTGATTCTTAAATAATATAAAATACATCAGCTCCTCCTACTAATTTTCCATTCACAAATACTTAAGGAAAGGTTTACCATTTTGAGTAAAGTTTTAAATAACCAACCATTAATTTATCAATTTCAATATCATAAAATCCAAATTGAACACCAAAAGGTTATAGTTTTTAAATTAGCTTTGAAGTAAATCTGCACATAGGTTTTTCTGGGGTACCTACAATAAAAAGCATTATAGGATTTTCTTTGATCATTGATTCAATCTTTAAAAAATATTGTTATTATTGTTTTTAAAATTCAGCTTCAAATTGTTCATATATGCTCTCTAATTATATTAAAGTTTGAGCAGGTTCTAGGTTCAATATTTAGGTATTAATTAGTTAAGGATATGATGAGATCAAAACAGAAGGTAAATATTAAATCTAAAATTGAAGGTTTCATTTACATTATGACTTCTAGCTATTTATTCATCATTACAATAGGATAAAGCGTACTTCTCAACATCAAGAGGCATTATTTCTAATAATTTGTCTAATCTTGTTTTATAATCATCATTATGATAAAATACAGTTATTATTACCTAATTCATATAGCTTTAAAATATACTTTATGAAAATTAGATGATTGGAATGCATCCAAAGAATATTCTTATGTAATTGTAGTCATAATTAAATTTTAATTATTATTATATTATAAAAAATAAAAAGTAATAAAACATAAAAAATTTTCTAAAATTAAGTTAAATCAATTTTATTGAATAATTAAGTTTCCTGATTTATTATATGCAGAAATAAATATAATTTATTCTTTTTATTCTCATATTGCAAAATTTAATTACAATAAATTTGAATTCTTAAAGAATTTTTTATTTATCTTAATGTAATTAAAGATATAAATCTGAAATAATAAGTGTTATAGAGTAATTCTTATATTAACTATTTTTTTATCTAATATTCTGTTATTATTGTATAATAATATATATTTTCTTTCTTCAAAGTATTTTTTATTTATGGGTAGGCTATTTTTGATTTAATAAAATATTGTTTTGAAAAATTCTTTCACAATTTTTCATCTTATTATTTGTAAATAAGCTAAAAATTATTTTTGATCTTATTTTTCCTACTTTTTAATCATTTCTCTTTCTATTTTAATACAAAATTGATTCTTATATCCAAATATTATACAATAATTATGCTTAAAATTATATTGGATTAATACTCAAAATTTTTAATTAGTTAGTTTTATCTAATCCAATATAATTTTATTGACTTAAATTATAATTTATTGATTTAATAATTAAGATAAAGGTTTATTACATTAATTATGATAAATTTCTAAATTCTTTTGAGTATTAGTATGATTTATCACTTATATAGTATATAATATTATTGTTGGAAACAGTAAATTATTAAAAATTAATGAATTATCAAAATAATATTGCTGGTCTTTAAAATAAAGTTAAATAAACTAGGATTGAATTGAAAATTTAATCAATACTTAAAAACGCCTAAGATAATAAGAATAATAAAATTAGAATGGATTTAAATGGTATTCCAATAAGTAAAAATTCAAAGAATTACACAGTCAATTTTAAATAAAATCTATGTAATGTCTATATAGTAGAGAATTGGAAGAAATACAATATTTTGGAGAATAACAATTAATTATATGAAGTTGAATATAAACGAAAATGTATGAAAAATTGTAATTTATTTTGAATATATAATTTATCCTTTTGTAATAGATTTTTATTAAAATGATATGTGTTATATTCAACATATCCTAAATTTATCTCCACAATTATAACATTCAAAAAATTTAGTTGTTGGTTCATCTGATGCTCTAGTTTGTTTCTCATCTACTAAGTAAACTTTTTTTTAACCACATCCTTTACACATTTTCCCTTCCACACCTTCCATTTCTCTTTTACTTAAGTCTTTGTAAAAACCTAATTGTTCAGCTTCCATTTTTTCTCTAATAATTCGACTTTATTCTTATTTAGTTTCATCATCAACCCAATCAGCAGCTCTAATTTATATTTAAAATACTTTAATTAAGCAGCAATTAAAGGGTCAAATTACTTTGAGAAAATCCTATAGGTTAATGAACCATTTTTATCCTTCTTTAAAAAGCCCGCTAAAATTTTTAGATCCTATTCATATGCTTTTTTAGGACTATGTTCTGTTTATCTCTTATAATAAATTGCTTTTTCCATTTTTTCCACAGAATCTTTAATTATTTAATAATCAGAATCACTTAAATCATCTTGATTTTTAAATATTTAGATATTAAGAATAAACAATTTACTAATTGCTGTTAAGTATTTCACACGATCAACATAAGATGGATAAGGGACTTTGTAATTTACAAATAAATCAATATCAGGTAAAGATTTACTACTTTATATATTTTATACACTATTCTGTTTTTACATTTTTATTTCCTCACTCTTCTCTCTTTTTTTTTCAATTGTATCGTTATCATTTGGTTTATTTTAAGGCAGTTTTTTAAGTTTGTCTTGAACTATCTACGCTTTAGTTCTAATTGTTGCAGCTAAGGGGTCACTTTTATCATCAATTATTGTAAGAGTGTGAAGTGTTTTGTATATTTTAGATTTATTTACAGCCTCTTAATCAATTGGAGTTTATTCTAATAATTTTAAGATATTAATAGTTTCTTTAGGATTCTTTTTCCAATCCACAAGTTTTTTGCGTAATTCATATAATTCTTAATAATCCATAAAATAATTTAATTTATATCAAACATTATTAAATTTCTTAAATGTGTCTATTAAATGTTATCAAAATTATCAATTTATAAGATGAGATCTATTTAACTTATGCCACTAAAGAGAAATCCTAATCACTTCCAAGACAACTATTTCACACAACAAAATCGTCTATTATAAATCATTCATTCATTTAATTTAATAAATAAATTTATTTTATTTAATAAGTAATTATGCTATTTTACTAATAGACTACAAACAAAAATATGATAAAAATATATCAATTATTATGTGACAGATTGTTACAATTAGTTTAGATTCTAAATAATATTGTAAGTAGAACTGTATTATTAATTTATTATATTAAATTTCTGTATCAATTGAAACTATCAAGTTTTTAAAAAATATTTAAAGAATATTATATTTTTTACATGTTAATTGAAAAATATAGAAAATATTAACATATAATATATTATCTTTTCGAATTACATTTATTTGGAAAAAGATATACTTAATTTTAAATTTAATCATATAATTGTATGAATATTTTAATTTTTATTGATATTAACTTTTTATTGAGATATCAATCTTTTTATTTATTTATATAATAATATAATAAATGCATTTATTCTTAAGTTTGATTCATATCTTCTATAATCTTGTGGATTTCAGTAGTTTAATAAATTAAGATGTTTCTTATTACTCTATCATATTTAAGTTGATATTCTCAATTTTTTATAGATATATATCACTTGATATTTACATTTATTAACATGGTTTAGTTAAAGTAATAATAGATTGATTTGTCATAAATTTGCAAATTAAGTCAATAAAACAGTTCTTATAATATACAATTTCATCGTCTTAGATTAAATAGTCAAATTAACAATAGAATATACTTTCAAATATTAGATTATTTTTTTGTTAAATTTTTATGTAGTATAAAAAATTAGAAGGTTAATCAAATTATTGGAAGGCTGCCATGCTTGGCACAATATTCCTATTCATGTTTTCATCATTTAATTCAGCTGCAAATTTAATAGGCTTCCTATATAAGGAGGCAAATTATAATGATTTAGGAGTGATTTCATTATTTTCGTTATATGCAGCATTTGGCTTCAGCTCATTATTTGCACCTAATATTAGCGCATTGTTTAATCCAAAATATGTAGATAAATATATTAATTTGTTAGGTTATGTTTTTTTCGTCATTTGGATATACATTATATATGTCATGTGGAATTATTGTTTATTAATGCAAAGAACATGGCACTCAAGATGGAGTTTGCAGTAAAGGGATTCTGTATACAATTGTTAATTTCTGTGCAATAATAAATGGTATATGTGCAAGTACTTTATGGGTTTCATAGCCATGGTACATCACAAGCATTAGTACAAATGAAACAAGAGGTAAGTATTTTGGCATATTTTGGGCATTAATGTAATCGTCATAGATTGTTGGAAATGTAATGGGATTGGTTTTAGTACAACTATCACCTTTATTATATTTTTTGGTGATGACAATTGTTTGTGGTGTTAGTGGATGTTGTTTTTTATTTTTGCCATCTAAATTTGAAAAGGCATAAGAAGTGAAGAGTGTAAAGGAGAAAATTAGAGGGATTTGCATTATAATAAGTTCAAGAAAGATGAGACCTATGTTATTATATTACTATTTTGCAGGAACTATTGTAGCATTTTATACTGGTTTTTTGTATAAACTTATAGCTGCATCTCAACCAGAAGATTAAAGTTAAGATGAAACAACAAAAAAGTAAGCATATGTTTTCATTATTCTTGGGGTTTTTGAATTCATAAGTGGAATTTGTTCTGGATACATATCAGATAGAGTTAATCGTTATATGGTAGCTACTACTAGTACAATAATTGTTGAATTGGCTTTAATTGTTAGCATTATTAGTTATTATACTGACAGCTATGTATTGTGTTTCATATCTGGAGCTTTATGGGGAACTTCTGATTGTCTTGTGTCTAATATGACAATGGTTATCACAACAACTCTTTTTCCAGATCAAATTGAAGCTTTTGCAATTAGAGCCATCATGACTTCATTTGCCACTAGTGTTATGCTTATATTTAGTATTGTGATTCCTAATCAGATCATATATCTATTAATTGTTGTCTTAGTTGAGTTATTGACCAACATAAGTACAAGTAAACTAGGAATAATCAATGAAAAACCAGATGAAATAAAGTTGTGAATTTTTATTTGAATATTTGATGGTAAGTTTTATAATAATATTTGTACGAGAGATAATTTAATTATAAATCTAGTTATTAATAACACATTTATTTAAATTGAATTTTATTTTATTATTGTAAAATCTTAAATATTAGTCTATCTTATAATCATCATTCAATCTAATCTCTAAATTGCCATATTGCTGCTATCCCAGGTGTGAACCCACTTATTGGTCTAATTTTGAACAATATTAATCCAACCAATAACAACTTGTATCAATCCCTTTTGTTATCTTTTAATCCTTTTTTCTATAAATCATTTGGTTGATTTAAATGATTACCAATAAATAAATATTATTCACTTTAGATATTTAATTTATAATACTATTAATTTTAACATATTTAATTTATCATGCAGATTTAAAAAATATTTTATCATTAACATGTAATTAAATTGGAACTGAGTTTTATATCATAAATGATTGATTTTAATCTGTAGACCATTAAGGAGTGAAATTAAATCCATTCTTTTGGATATTAGCTATAATTAATATATAATTATATACTCCAAGAATCTTCTCTATGAGTGAAATCTCTCAAAACATAATCCCATTCAAATTAATGATATATTCTTGTATCAAATATTCTTATTAGAACATCATCAATTCTTAAATAACTACGGATCAATCCAAAAAAACAATCACCCATAACTCTAAATCTGTATTCACAATTTGATAAACCATTATCACCTAATTCATCTTCAAATAAAGAAATATGAGATGCCCATTTTATTGGATTTGCCTTTAATATTTGATATCATTCAATACTTATGTTAAGTTATTTAATGGAATTTCATCTTCTGTATATTCACAATGAAATGTATTCGATTTTATATTAAATACTTAATTTAAATAGTCTATTTCATTTTTTATCACATTCTCATTTAATTATTTTTCAAAGATCGATTTACCTTAAATTCCTGTAATTTGTTTAAATCTTTAAAATTAATAATTAATCTAATCTCCATCAACTATTGTTCCTTTATATGGAGATGAATAAAATGTATCAGATATTTTATTTAATACTTTAATATCTGCATTTTATTTCTAATTCCAAATATTTGCATATTTAAGTTGAGCTTGTTCTGGAATCACTGATATATAATTTAATTTGTTTGATTTTACATCCTTCTTGATATCTAAGTAATTTGTTTCTCTTGACTGATAATTACACAAATATAAAGCATCTTTTGGATCCACTAAAAACCCAAAATTAAATTGCTTATTGTAGATCAATCCACAATTATTACCATTTGTGATATCTGGAATACCTTACAAAGTCAATGCGTCTTGTAACATATCCAAATCTGATGTATTATACATTCCAGCTTTAGTAAATATGAAATTCCATCCATTTTATTCATATTCTTCAATATTTACATCATTATATGTTTTATGTGAGATTATATTCATTTTTAATAATAAATTATTAGAGAAATATCATATAAAATATCAGATAATATTTAAATTGTGCATCAATGAAAATCAGAGAGATTCCCAATTTTATCATCATTAATTATAATATAATTATATTATTATTAAATTTTAACTAATTTTAATTAGCTTAAATACTTAAGTCTTATATATTATTTATATTTGTGATAATTAACTCATATAATTAAATCTTATATACAAAAAATTATCAATCTCATTTTTATTTTGATTCACTATTAATATTATTTCCATTCTTTGAATTACTGCTTCAAAATATTGATATCAATCCACCAAAAAGACTTTTATTTTTAGGATTCTGAATTAAATTAGACTGCTAAAGTGCAAGGCTCTACTATTCTTTTTATTATAAATTTCTAAAATCAAGTTATTTTATACTTAATTTATTTACACATTTTTTTTACATTTTATCCAGGATCCAACTTAAATACTTCATCCCTACTTCTAGATTTAATATTTAAATAAAATGATTGATCATCTTTTATTTTTAGATTTGTTATTTTACATGCTTTTTAGACAAATCTTTAAGAAGAAGTTTTCAAGTTCAAAAATATACTTGAAACAAATTTTGTCTCAAAATAAATAGTCACTCAATATCCAAGAATTAATTATTAATTGCAAGTTTATATAATAATAACTTTCCTCTTATTCTAATTCACTTAAAAATTATGCAATTTTAAATCTACAATAATCTAATCCTTTTTTTAATACTTTTTTGTTTCATCTTCCTTTTTTCAAATATCCTTTTTCAATTGTTTTTAATTAAACTTACAATCTTTCCGCTGATAACTCTTTATCTTATTATATAAATCCCTTTCATTATCTTCAATACTCTTTCTTTTGTAAGTATATCAATATAATAATCTTTTTATTTTACTCTCTTTCAAATTCTTTATAAGCTGTCTAAATATTAAAAATGGGGCTTCTTGATTGTCTTTTTTTTATTTTAATTCTCTTTCTATATTTATAAAATATACTGTTAAAGTTGCTTTATTTATTTTGTTAAATTGTCATTATTATTAAATGGATCATTTTAGATAAGAGATTGAGGTTATCCAATATAATTTATATGAGTTTTTCTTGTTTTTTTGGTGTTGAGAGTTTAGATTTATAATTGCAATTCTATAATGACAGAATTGTATTATTCATCCTAAATTAATATAAGTTCACTATTTTACTAAGTCTGTCTTTTCCTTAGTTAAATTAATATTCTATTATGTTAATTCTTATATAGTTTTTAGTAATTAAGTCTTTTCTTCTCTTAATTCTACAACTGTACTAATCTTCTATTTATCGCTAATCTTATTCACATTACCATTATCTGATTGACTGTTATTTTAACCTTATGTGATTTTATTCATTTAATAGTAATTAATATTATATTAAGAATATTACTAAGAAGTATTATTATTTTATAATATAATTTATTCAATTATGATGATTTAGAATCTAAAATAATATATGTTTATTGAATATGGAATAATAAGTTTTAGTGTTCAAATTAGTAATTTATATATTTTTATTTCTTGTAATAAATTGAATATATTATCATAAATATTGCAATGACTCAAATATAAAACTATTATAAAATTTCACTTATCCAAATTAAGCAATTACATAATTTTTTTCTACAATTTACTTCAAATCTGAATATTGATAGGTTCTATAATAATAAAATGGATAAATTTACAAATCATCTATTTTAATATTTTAATTTTCACATTTGATTTTACAAATTAGTTTTCTTATATTACCCATTAATTATTTTTCTGTTTCGGTCAAACTTATTACAAACTCTTTTTACTTTTATACAACAATATCTTGAATAAGAGGATAGCAATACCATCATATTTCCTTCCATATTATATAGAGTTTTAATTCCAATCATATCTAAAATGTAATTATTTTCCATTATTAAATTCTCTAATTTCCATCACATTAACACTATAATCATCTAACATATAATTTAAATTATGTAATTCTTTAGCACTTATAAGAATTGTTGTAGTGTTAAATTTATGGAGATTACTTAAAATTGAACAAATATAGCATTATTTTTTGCTAATTGATAAATGCAAATTGTCAATAGCAATTGTGGTTGGTTTTTATTAAATGAAATGAATTAACTCATGTAAATTATTTGTTCCAAATTGCTATAGAGCTTGCTCTTATGTTTATATTTCAGATAAAATATTAATGTAGATAGCTTATTGACTTTCTTTAATTGACTTATTAATAATGTATTAAAAGAAAGTAGATATACCATCTTATTTCATCCCATAAAATAATTAATATGAATGAACATGAATTTGATTTTTGAGAATGAGTTCATCTAATTAATATTCAATTGGATATTATTTTGAAAATGCAGCTTATAATTGTTCTGTAAAATCACCTAACTTATGTGTAGTTTCACTATATATTGCCATTGCACCTAGAAGGATAAGAAACATATCCATAAAATATAACTTTTTTTTTGGATTGAGTTTTGTTAGTTGAATAGTAAAACTGATAGCAAGAATAATGGCAGATGCAATTATTATATACATTAAAATAATTTATTTGCATGTCTTATAAAATAAATAAAATATGAAATGAATTCTAGTTATTAGTGAATAAAAGCAGAGGGATTTATTTAATTGTGAATAAATTTAAAATATATTTAAATCTTTTTTATTATGGGAAAGAATTATAGAAATAGATCAAAGACATCTGATACCCCAAGAAAACCCTTTGAAAAGGAACGTCTTGACAATGAGTAATTTATTATATTTAATTTTAGATTACAAATTATTGGTAAATATGGACTCAAGAACAAAAGAGAAGTTTGGAGAGTTTAACTCACTTTAGCTAGAATTAGAAAGGCAGCAAGAGAATTATTAACTCTTGATCCAAAGGACCCAAGAAGATTATTTGAAGGAGAAGCTTTAATTAGAAGAATGGTTCGTTTTGGTTTATTATCAGAACAAGAAAGAAAGTTAGATTATGTCTTGGGTCTCACAACATAAAAAATGATGGAAAGAAGACTCTAAACTTTTGTATTTAAAAGCAATTAAGCATCTTCAATTCATCATGCCAGAACTTTGATTAGATAGCGACATTTTAGGTAAAATAAATCATTTAATATATTTAGAGTTGGAAAGAGATTAGTCAACTCTCCATCATTTTTAGTCAGAGTAGAATCTGAAAAACTTGTTGATTTTGCTGTCACATCACCATTTGGATAAGGAAGAGAAGGAAGAAGAAAGAGAAAGAATGCCAAGAGAGTAAAACCAAATAAAGAGGAATGAAAACAATTTATTTTAAGCATAAGTACAATATTATCTATTTATATATCTTCATTTTTTCAATCTGCTTAAACATCTATTGCATATAATCCTGGATGGATGTTTTTTGGATTACCCAATTTTCTCATTACCCAACTTTATGATGGTTTCAAAACACAAATCATACTATATTTAAATTATAACTAATTTTTTACCCTGAAAATAATTTAGTTTATGAAGCATTGCAAGAATTTGGACACTCCACTTCTCTATTCCATTATTCAACAGTCAATACCATTCCACATTACTAACAAGCTTTTAGATCTTTAGTTGATTTTGGTAATATAAATTTCTTTTCATCATATTCTGACATTTCTGATTCAGATTACATATTTGGTATGTTAATTATTATAAATTATTCAAAAGTAAAAATTATTTATAATCAATTTATCAATGTTTTTATTTTCTTTTCTTATTCTTCTTTACTTTATTTTCTATTATAAATTAATAGTTATCCTCAATATTTGAAAAATGATAAGCATCTTTATAATCCTTAAATTAAACCTATTCCCAATTATTTGATAAAATTAAATTCAAACAAATGTTGAGATTATTAATCTAATCATCAAATAATCAAAATACTTCTTAAAATACTTATAAACTATTTGTGAATTTTAAATTATTTATCTATTCAGATATTTGATCATAGATAAACCATTTTAGATTAAACTATGAATCAGTTTATCGAATTGTTCTCATCATCAATTAATTAGCTCTATTTTAATTGTTTATTAATATTCTAATGTCTTCATCAAAAAATTCTTCATTTACCAATTCAAAATGAGATTCTTCAAACTAATTAAAAATTCAGATATAATTCTATACAAAATCTAGTTCCTTTTCTTTCTGCTTTTCAAACTCTGATATGTTTATAATCTTATTTCCTATCTAAATTTGATTCACTATTTATTTGCAAAAAGGACATATTTCTTTTGGTACAACTGCAATTTTAAAACATTCTAAACATATTTTATGTTTGCAATTCATTTCTCCTATTGAATTTTCATCATTGCAGCATATATCACAAAAAGTTTTTAGAAAATCCATAAAATCTAAAAAATTTATTAAATTCTTTAATTATTTCTTAAATACTTTTCTTTTAATTCAATAAAAACTTAATTTCAATATGAATATTGTATTCAATATAAATCAATATACGCTTATATCGAATTTAATTGATATTAATAAATACCAATTCATTTTATTCATATTATGAGTAATATTATTTAGGATTAATGATATATCTTTTTATTAAATCATATTTAGAAATTTGTTGATTCAATATATATTTCCTATTTTTCTTGTTTCTATTTATGTTATATCCATTTAAAATATTTTTAAATGATAATTACTTACTATGACTTGCTTTCTATATATTAATTCATAATTTTTTTATTCTTGTAGCTCCTAAATTCAAAATATAAACTTATTTAAGTTTTATTTTTTTATGTTTACTTAAAAATGATTTTAATACTAAAATAGAATAAGAAATTTGAATTTAATACAAGAATAATTATGTTCTCAAATTCAGTTTTATTATTACTTTTTTTTAAATAGTAATCAAAGTTTATCATACAATTTATTACAAACAACATGAATATAAATAGTTTATTTCCATTCTAATTTAATTTAATATTTAGAAATCCAGAACAAATTTTAGTAGAATGAATAAAAATTACAATCCTAAAAATTTAGAGCAACAAACAATAAATGATTTTATTCATTACGATAATCTGTAAACTATTGAAAATTATTAAATTATTTATATTTTATAATTTGCTTATATGTTAAATCTTCATTTCTAAAGGGTCTGAAATGGGTTGTTAGGTATTGGTTAAAACGGTTATGAATTGCTTGTAGATGAATTCATAGTGTTAGAAGGGTTGAATGAACCTTGTGGTGGAAATGAGGGTAGTGTTTGGTTTGGGAAATTGGGTATGGATGAGTTTGTATTTGGGATTGGGTTTTTATTTACGATAGGGTTTGTATTTACGATAGGGTTTGTATTTATGATAGGGTTTGTATTTATGATAGGGTTTGTATTTATGATAGGGTTTGTATTTATAATAGGGTTTGTATTTATGATAGGGTTTAGATTTGGGGTTTCAAAAATTTCTATGTCGTAAATGTCAAAATATTCACAATCTGAAAGATACTCTTTTTTATCAAATATTTTATGTCCAGATATATCAAAACCATTTCCTAAATTAGATTTACATTTAGTGAATGTAGAATTTATAACAATATCCTCATCTCCAATTTTCAAAATCCAACTATTCAAATCAGCATTTAAGTTTAATTTAAGAGCCTGCTGAGATGTCTCTTTTAATTAAAAGAATTTTTCTTTATTCATTTAGAATAGAATTGATTTTTGACGCTATTAAATACAATTATAGACACCAAAAACACATTTATTTTTAGTTTAAATAATAGTAATTGTATCTGATCCTTCTAATTATTACTTCTTTTCTTATAATTTTTTATAATTTGATCCTTGTTGAGTCATCCTATAAATTATTTTTAAATCTTTTAAGAATTTTTCTTCTTAACCTTATGCAATTTTTTTAACAACATCTTCTATATAAGGGGTGGCTAAAGTTGATTAAGAAAATGTATAATTAGAAAATGTTCTATTCTCCATTATTTCTATTTATTCCATTACTTCTTTAAAACAATTCTTAAATTTTTCTAAGTTGAAACTAATTTATTATTATAATTTACAATTATTTCTATTTATCAACAATATCAGCCAAATTGATATTCAATTTCTAATCATCTTTATTAATTTTCTCAACATAATCATCAGCCAACATATTTAATTCTTCAAAATTGTAAGGACTTCTTTCAAATTTTTCATCAAGTAATTTTATCTTAAACTTATCACATTCAAAATATTCCTTAATATTATCCTTTAAAGTCCATCTTTACACCACTTCCAAATATTTTTTAATTTCCTCTAAAAACTTTTCTTTCATAACTTCAATTTTTTATAACATTTCTTCCTAAAAAGAGGTGACCATCTAATTAAAGAGGAATTTCTATACATTTTCAATAAACTTATCATCATAATATGGGGAGTGATTTCTAGCATAATTAAAATACTCTTATTTTTTATCACTATCAAATTTAGTATATTTGAAGGCCTCATAAATTCTGCCATTGATGAGCTTAGAATATATTTAAAGATTTACTTCTTAGAGATTACAACAATATTATTGATAAGAATTGTAATTTCCAAGGAAACATTCATCACAGAACAACCTTTTTTAAATTGAACCTTTGTCTTATTTCACCATTAAATATTTGATCTTCTGTCCTCTATGAAAATGTTGGTCATCTTAACAGTAAATTCCTATTTTTTGCTTTTTACTAGTCATCTTTAATAGAATTTCAAATAAATAAATTTATTAATAATCATTTATTAACTATTTTGTTAAATATATCGATAAGATTATAATAGAATTACAGTTATTTCAATTCTTCAAACTCATATATCAATAAAAATATTAACCTAAAGGAGATAAAAAGGGATTCTTTTTAAACTTAAATGAATTTCAATATGATGTTTAGAATTTAAAAGGAGGGAAAATAAAAAAGAGTTTTAGTAATTTAATCGTATATATATTTAATTTAATAAATGAGAAGAATATGCCAATATTAACTTGATTTATGTTAGTATTAATGGTTACTAATTTATAGATGAAACACTTAAAATTCTTAATTTATTTTTAATGTTTAATATAGAGCTATCTACTAACAATTATTTACATTGATAATTAGTATTAATGAATATTGTGTTTATTTATATATCCCGATAATCAAGTTTTAATTTCTGAATTTAATGGACTCATTAAAATAAGCTTAAAAACTTGAAGAAAATCAAGAAACAACTAATAATGGTATTTATTCATAAAACATAAGACCTTGGTATCAAAATCAAATAACTAGATTAAGATGAGCTATCAAACTCATTATTATATAAATGTATGTGAAAATGTTAGACTATCATCTTAGAATTTTCATTTATTTTGAACCATCTTCTTAGAATGATGACTAAAAATGAATAAAGTTATAGATACAAAATGCATTTAGGATTGTGCAAAATGATGGAGTTCAATGAATTAGAATTAGTATATTGGCATTTATTGAATTTGTAATTTGACTATGGTAAAAAGTTACATACAAACTACTTGTAAGAGATTAAGTATTGATATAATATAGAATAGAATATGTGCATTTAACTATTTTAAAGATTTTCTTAAAATATAGGCAGAATTTATACCTGATATTTCATTATATAAAAGAGAGTTACTCTTTGTAACATTATCAGCATTCTACACTATAAAATTAATGAGAAATAATTAAAAATTTGATAAAATAGGAGAGTTTATAAAGGAAGAAAAGTTTTGTGAGTTATTTAAAAGAATTGAACCTGCATTCACAAATGTTTCATAATAATTGACATTATATATAGTCAATCAAAAATATATGGAAATGACAAAGTTAGAAGAACCATTAGAAGAATAATAAAAAAATTACAATTTTATAGTAGAATAGATCCTAGAAATGGCACCTGCATATTAGAAAGATGAAGAATTACCAATAACTAAGAAGGTAAAGAGGTAAAAGAAATTGATGGTAAAAAGAACTGAGACCATTTAGAAATAAGAATTAGAATCATAATAAAAAATAGAACAATAATCACAATAAATACAATAATTATCTCAGCAATCATAATAATATTAAGGTTAATAATAATAAATGGATTCATAATACTTAAATTAACCAATAGGATCATCATTATAATTTTCAAGATACAATTAAAAAGAAAATTAATAATACAATTATATGAATTAATCTTAAATTTAACAAGATTAATTTATTATAAATGAGAGATCTTCTTTTCAATAATATGATAGATAAAATTCATTTGTAATGTAATTGAGATAAAAACATTTAAATAACTTTAGTCAAGAAAGTCTTGGTCAAGTTTATTCTAATTAATTTTATTCAACACCTTCTTAAGAATAATAATATACATCTAGAAATCAGAAATCAGTATAATGGATGAATAAGAATGGAAAATGATTTATGAATATCTATATTTAATATGAATTCAATATAACTCACTTTAAGAAATTTTATCAAATAGTACCTTTTTTAAATTAAAAAAATAATTTTTTAAAGAAGCACTATTTTTATAAGTTTAAACTTATTAATTTGCATTTTCAATCATCTTTTACTTTTTATGATAATTCCTTCTCTATTAAAATATATATTCAATTTTTTCTTATGATAAAGTTCCCTTTAATTCAGGATTGTTTTCAATTTCTTCCTAAATTTTTTACCTTAATTATTTATCTTCTTCAGATTCTTTTTCTATACAAATACTTTGATCTTCAATTGATTTCTCTTAATCAGGAGTATCTATTATTTGATTTGGATTAATATTTTCATTTAATTCAATTTGAGTATCCTTAATACTATTTATATTAATTTATCTTTCTAATACAGACCATTCTTTTTGATTAACTCCTATTGCTAAATGAAAAGATTAATTTAATCCAACAGATAAAGCCCTAATTCAATTAATTAAATATATACATTAATGCTCCAGGTAAAGTAATAATCACAAAAATTAAACTGCAAAAATAGTTTTCATAATATTTTTTATCAAAATTGTACCCACTATATAAACAAATGCAACAGCAAATAATGATTAATAAATTCAAAATTGATTAACAACATCCACGTAAACTAATAAAATAAATGAATTATATTTTTACTAAAAAGTAATATTACAACAAAAGGACATTAAGAATGTTAAAGCTGCATACTGTAAGTAATCTGATTTATATAATTTATCTATAGTTTCTGAAATACTAAACTTTTGATATAAATGTTGTAAGAGAACAAAATACCATATAATACATTAAATGAGAAGAGTATAAATCCATCCTATAAAATATCTGTAATTTCTTTATCCTATACAATTACTCATAAAAGTGCAATGACTTATATATTTTAAATGTTTACTGATCATACATCTTAACACAATTATTACAATTATAACAATGACTGCTTTTTGGAGGTCTCATTATTTTACATCTTGCACAATACCTCTCTTAGAAATATTCCCCAACTTTTTCATTTCTAACACTTTTATTAGATTTTATTGAATTAAACGATTCTTCATCATCTGGTTATGGTCTTCTTATTACTCCAGGTTCTGTAAAAGTCCCACATAAATAACTATATAAGAACATAACTAGGCATGTCCAACTGATCCATGAATTTGTTAAATAGTAATCTTCTGAAAAAAAATAGAGAAAATAATCTAATTAGAGAAATGAACATAAAAATTACATTGTAAAATGGCATAAGAACCTAAGACGAATATAATCATGAAGGAATCAGATACTGATCCTATCCATAGTTATCCAATTAAGAGAGAATTTTCAAAATGCTATATTCTCATTAATTTGATGATAAAATTATTTTTAATTATATATCAAAATGTCTATTTTATTCTATACTAGATTCTACATACCTAATTTGTTAATATTTGAGTAAATAAAGATATATTTAATATTAATATATAATCTAAATCCTTGTTCTGATAAGTAAACAAAATTAAATAATTAATTTACATTTACATACTAATAAATCTTTTCTAAATCTATACTAATTGATTTGAGATGCTAAAAATGTATAATAAAATAAAGGATTTAAGATAAATTTTTTTGATTAATTAAGATGTAAAATACTTAACATAATTAAATATCTTTAAAAAATAAAATAAAGTAGATTTAATTAATAAATTCCTTCATAATGATTATTAAGTAAAATACTATCATATTTGATTAGTAATATTGATTTTGTTAATTTAATAATTAAAATTAGCATAGAATTAGTATAAGAATTATATTATATTTTTAATGAAATATGATATAATTGATAATTTTAATATGATTAATGAATGTAAGATACAAAATTTGCTTAAATTCATTAAATAAAATAATCAATTTAATCGTAATGTTGATTGTTTTGCTTTTATTTTCAGTTTCAGTTTAATTAACATCATAGAAAAATGATGAATAAAGTGAAGGCTATAAACTTATAATATTCTCAGAATCTTGCTATGATTAATTTTTTGGAGAAACAGAATTGAGCAATTAATGTATATCTGATGTATATCATAAATAAAAAATAGACAATCAGCAGAACAATTAGTATTTTAATGATAGCATTTGCTATATTGAATCAATTGCCTTAAATTCTTAAGATTTTTAAGTCATAATCAACATAAGGAATTTCATTTAATGCTTATTACACAGAAGTACAATATTCATATATAAATAGTTATATCTATTTTCATTTATAACAGCTTATAATATATATAAAGGGACAAAATTTATTTTATATGGTGAGAATGTAATAGTAGGCCTAGAATATTGTGTAGTTTTAAGTTTATTCTTATTTTACGATAAAGATTTGAATTTTCATTAATGGCTGTTCAAGGCAGTTTTTTTCATAACTATCAATACTCCTTTATTTGTAGGTCTAGGACCATAATGGATTTTCGATATGACTATATATATTAACATGAGTTTATGTAAATTGTAAATTTAATGAAAATTTAGTGTTTATGGCTAGATTTTTATAAATAAGACTCAATTGTAGAAATAGAAATACAGGATAATTATCATTGCTCACATAATTGTAAAACTATGCAGGAAGCATCGCAAGATTATTTACTTTATTTAATGATGATGCAGATTTCTCATATATGGTATTTATTAGATAGAATATAGATATATGTTTTAGAAGACAATATTATGGGTACAATATTGTTAATTTAAATTTATAACACTTGGAGAGCAGAGAGGAAAAAAAATAAGAATAGTGATGATAAAAGTACAGAGCTCACATGTAAAGAAATAAAATATGATTAAATTTGAGAAATAATTTATTCATTTATAATATTCTTAATTTAAAATGTAATGTGAAATTTTGGATTGGAAAGGTTATTTGGTTTAAGCAAGTTTAGGATTGTTTTCATTTACAGTATTAATAAGTAATATAGTTTAGTGAGTAATAGTAAAAAGATATTTTGAAAGACCTAAAAGAGTTTGGAAAATATTTATGATGGTATTTAAAATGAAAATTAAAACATAAGGACTCTTCGAAGCAATTACTTTCAGCATTATTAACTCATGTATTGAATGTAATATTGGCTATGGAATTATCTTCAGAAACAGATAAGAATGCTTGCATCTGGTATTTTATTACATTTATGTTGGATTCAACAATGGGTATACTTCTAATATTTTTACTCATGAAATCATTAAATATGATATTTACATATTTTGATATGAGAGTATATACAAATATTAATTATTCAGAAATTACAAAGTGGTAATTATTTCAAAATCTAAGAAAATGTAAGAATAGATGGGTAAATATATGTATGTCAATTATTTGTATGGAATTCTGTTGTAATTGTTTCTAAATTTTTATTATTTGGATTTCAAGAACTAGTTGCTGATTAATTAAATGAGATAGGTACCTATCTACTATCTCCCATAAATAATCCTGATTTGCTTTTGGTTTTTGTTATGATCATTATTCCATTTATTATGAATGCAATTACAGTATTTTAGGAATAGATTATTTTAAGTTCTGGATTCAAGATAATATAATTATGAAAACTGAATTTAGTAATCAAGAAGAAAAGTAATTATTAATTGGAACATTTTATGAGGGAAAATTAACAGAAGACTTTACATAAGAATTAGTTGTTTTATGAATTTTATTATAATAATTATTATATTAGAAATGAATCCAATTTCTATGCCTCAATTTAAAGGAGATCCTCTTTTATTTCATGCAGTGGCACATGGAAATGTTTAAGAAGTCATCTCATTAATCGAAGATAAAGAAGCTAATGTTGATGCTCGTAATATTAATGGTGCAACTCCTTTAATATATGCTATATAAGCCAATCATCCTTAGATTACAGAACTTTTATTGAAATTTAAAGCTAATCCAAACTTAAAAGAATACTATGATGTAGGAGAAAAGACTGCTTTACATTATGCAGTTGAAAAAAATTAATTTAAATTATGTTAGTTACTTTTAGATTATGGAGCAAATCCAAGTTTATAAGATAAAAGAGGTCTTACTTGTTTACATTATGCAGCTAGATAAGGATTTAAATAAATAGTTGTGTTATTACTTAATTATGGAGTTGACATTAATTTAAGAGATGAGAATGGATTCAATGCTTCCTATTGGGCTTAAGTTAATAAATTTAATGAAATTATGGTTTTATTACCTCCACCAAAATTCATTCCCTCTAATGATTTATTAGAATTTAAGACTTAAATGAGAGAAATCCATAAAATAGAAATTGGTAAAAAAAAGAAAAAGAAGAAGAAATGAAAAAATTTCGAATTTATATATAATATAAAATTTTTTCTGTTTAACTATTTTAGTTTAATTTTTATTATATCCATTATAATAAATATTCCATTTAATCTCTAATGAGTTATGTTTAGCGATACTTAGTTTCATAGAATATTTATTATATATTGATAAAATATATATACTCTATTATTAAGTTATACTTTTGATATTTATCATTAATTAAGTATTATTATAGTAGAATTAAAGATATTATTCTTTGATTATCCATATATAAATTAATCATATTATTAAAAAACCAGAAATTAGAATATAATAATTTTTGAATTAAATAATCGATTTATTATGTCAATATTTAATATTTAAATATTATCTTTTAATATATTAATAGTAAATGCTAATTAATTTTTTAAATAAAATTCAGGAGCTCTTGTTGAAAAAGATCTTATTCTAGTTTTAAATTGGGATGATTAGGTTGATTTTTTATTGGATGTTTGATACTAAGTTAAATCACATAGAGGTTTAAGTTTTGATGGAAGAAATTTCTTTTTTGTAGTAGTAGTAGTTGCAATAGATAGATTATTTTCATTTCCTGTAATTATAGTTGTCATTTTTTTCTTTATAATTTTTTTTTAATTCTAATTATTTTCATCAAAAGAATGACATGATTCAGAATCTGAAATATCCATTTATTAATGGAATTTTGGGAATTATTTAATAAGTTAAGGAGTGGTTGTTAGATCAATAGCTTAACAAATATTAATGCCAATCTATTAAAGGTTATTTACTGAAATATCTTTACCATTCTCATCTTAATTAGAAATCCTCATTTAAAATAGGCAACTCATTTTTAAAATATTACTAAAAAATAAAATGAAAATACCCCAAAGCAAATGGAAGAGTTTTTTCCATTTTTGTTGATTTTCCAAATTTACTTTAATTTAAATTAACATATTAACATATTTAAGATATAGCTGCAATAAAAGGTTGATCTTGATCATATTTACCTACAAAACTTATACCATATCTAATTAAAACTTTAAAAATATTTTACTTATTAAATGTTTAATGTAAATCTAAAACCAAATGTAAATTTTCAGTTTTTTTTAAGATTGCTTTTACATGCTGAGCACTTGGGATTAATTTGTTAACTTTATGCCATTTTTAGTTGATATCTATTCCCTAAAGTGTAGTAGTACTATTTCCATGAATGACACCATCTGGATTCATCATTGGCAAAATTTTGAAATAAAATTATTCTCTAAGATTTTAACCACTTTCATTAACTAAATATTAAATAATTCCTTCAGCTACATATGAAGATATCACTTCTGAAGGATGTTATCTAGCTAATATAACTATTAATGGTTTAGATGAATCTCCCATAGATATAACAGGGCATTAATTACCTGAATTGATAGTTATTGACTTCAATTTAAAAAATGATCTAAATTATAATAGAAATAAATACAGATTCGACAAAGGTTTTAAGAATGACTAGAGACTTGTAATTCCATAAGGCGGATATAAAGAAAAGTATGTTATATCTTCTTTTTCAAATAAATAACTAAAGGATAAAGTATAATAATTAGTGTCTTGACTTTTTTTATAATTGTTCTTATAATATTACACATTATCTCCACCTCTATACCATCCAGTACGAGCAGTGTATATATATGGATTTACACTTAAATATGATGCCTATTTACTCAAATTGATAATATTCAATTGTAGCATCATTCTTTCAGGAGTTCTAACACTGAAAAAATACCATCTTGTGCAACCACTGGTTTAGGTATCATTATGCAATATTAAATTATATTTTTTATTGGCAACTTTATGTACTGTATAAAGATTGCCACATTCAAAGTTAGAGTCAAAATGAATAGGTCCTTTTGAAAATAGATGAGTTCCTGAGTATTTTGGGGATGCAAAATTCTATCCTTTAGGAGTTTATATAACGAATCTTTAATAAATCAAGGCAGAATTGTTATGCAATTCATGAAATGTCTTATACTAGCTTTACTCTCTTTGAAAAAAGTCGATATCACAACATTCAAAGTTAAGAACATCTTTGGGAGGCTTGTATTAATGATGAAAATAAGGCAAAGGACTAATTACTATATAAAATACCCAATCTATCCTGGATAATCAAATTTAGGTTTTGTAAATTCAAACGGAGTTGAAAGAATAGGGTTTGCAGTCGGTAACAAATTTTCCATTCAATAAGAATTTTTCTGTTAATTATAAAATAATTCTAAAACTTAGAATAAAGTACAACGTATTATATTCTAAATTACTTTATTTAAAAATATATATAAAAATAATGTAACATATTTAACAGATCTTAAATAGATTTGATAATATTATAGTTATTATGATGGTAAAGAAGTTTTATCTAGTAATTTTGATGTTTTTAAATAAATAAATTAATAAAATTAAATGAGAAGGCCTAATGAAGTTGAATATAGCAAAACAGCTTTAATGGGTATTTATAAATATTAATTTTAGCTAATTGGTATGAAGATAGATTGGCTCCTTAATAATTATAGAGAGATCCAAATGCATAAAAATCTGTATTTAATGAGAATATAAATAGTTAAGAACTGTGGAAGAGGGAATATCCATACCTGGTGATAATGGATGCTTACTTCCATTACCTAGAGTGAATCGCAATCCTCCTTATATTACAAAAGAAATAATAGTTCCAGATGATGGATATGTATTAAGATATAAATAATATATTAGAGAGAATTTAGGACAGAATTCTAAACAAAATTTGATGCAAAGAATATTTAGAATATGTAATTAGGGGATTGCAGAGCTCTTGTAAAAACAAATGGAGAAAAAGTAAATTTTCCTGAATGTAATCCAACAGTTGCATAAACTGCTGGAGCTAGATCGATAAAGCAATTAGATTAAACAAATATGCAACAAATTTTAGTTGACAGAGCTGTTCATTAAAATTACACAGATTTTGGATCCACATTTAGAAATCATCCAGAGTAGCATAATAAATTTTATTCAATTACTACTTACTAATAATCATTTCAACTTCCTGAAAATAATGTCAAAGAAATTTTAACAGATAAAAAAGTTAAACCTTTAGCTGCTGGATGTAGAGAAAGAGATCCTTTTGATTAAGGATTAAAAATGACTTCTGTAATTACAGGTGAAAAATATAGAGATTGTATAATTCATAATTATATTTAATAGCTGTTGATCCAAAAGAAAATACAGAAGTATAAAGATAATGGGTTCATTGTGGGGATTCTGGATTAAAAACTGCTTAAAATAATTTGAGATCTAGTAGTATTTAGAATTATAAGAAGACTGCTTATTAAGTTCATCCATATGACATAGCTACAAGTTTACCTTTAGGAGGTATATAATTAATATATGTAGATGGTGTTTACACATTACATCCTAAATATACAGATCCTGGACAATTTAGACATATAAGAAGTGATGTAACTAGAATTATGAACAAACCAATCACAAGAAAATGATATTCTATTTAATGATAATCCATTCATTTAAATATTGTCAGATATCTTTAATTGGAGTAAATTCTTTCTATTATAATCTTTATCTTATTAATATAATTTCATTTGGCTAAATGTAATACTGCACCCAAAGCACCAAACAAAACAGTTGAGCCCAATGCTTATTATTTGGCTCTCTACCAATCCCATGGCATATGATTTTTATGATATAAAATACCAGAATTGCTCTTCAAATATGGGTAATCCAAGTGATGATCAGCATCCAAGTCATAAGTTCTAATTAAGTCTTAAATATAAATTAATACCTCATATTTCTTTCATCTAAAGGAGTATTGAAATTGGCTCTCTCTAACACAACCTTACCAATCTTGTCAGCATTCTTAAATCCTGTAAATTATCCCATTAATTGAAGATCTGCATAATTCCATTATGAATTTCTACGATTTGCTACATTTCCAAATGAATTGTCTTATAGCTCTGGTAATTGTGATAGGAAGCAATCAAATGTTTAAACTGAAGCATCTTCTAATTTATGTCTATCTGGTATTTCCTTATATTCATAAGGCACAAATCCTAAAGATACAAGAAGCTATTATTAAACAATTTATTATACTCCTTCTTATACTGTTTGATCTGCATCCTCCTTTGTAACAAATGGAACTACACATTCATACCCTGGCTTATAAAATTCTGTTCTTGGCACCATCATCTATAAGTAATGGAGTGGTCTTCCCTTTACTCTAACTCTTCTGTATAACCACTCATTTAAATTTGAACTATTCCATGGTGGACTAACAAGCTCTTCATCTCTGAGTTCATAAATTGGTTTCTTGAGTTATTCTTTTCTGAATTAAATTTCTTATTCTCTCCATTATTTTTGTACTTGGGCATAAAATGCATAAACCAATGATCCACCACTCAAACCAGCACAAATACTATAAAAGTAGCTTATATTTGATTTACTATTTGTAAGTTGGACATTGAGCATTCATTCTACTGAATCCACTTAATTACTTAAGCACAAGTGCCATTTTTATTAATTATATTAATATAAATAATAAACCTTTAGATATGAAATAAAAAATAAAAAGTTTATTAATAAGTTCTATAATAATTATTATTCAAATTTTCTAATTCATTTAAATAATCTAATAATTAAACACTATTTTTCATTTTTAATATCATGCTCTAAACTTAATTAATTACATATTTAACTAATTTTATATAATAAATATGAAAAACTTTAAATTGTTAAATAAGTCTTGAATCAATTATATACTCTATAATCTAGATAAAAATAAGAAATATCCCAAAAATAGAATTATTTTGGGACTTTTCCTAATTTTTAAATTAATATTCTACTATTTACTAATTAGATTACGAAAAATTAAATGAATAAAAAATAATTAGATATAGAAGTATCATTCAATTTAGTAATTACCAAAACAGATAAAAATTTACTATTTATAAATCTTAATAAAGATTATTTATGAAATTTTTATTTACAATTTGATATCAATTTGTAAATTAGACTAAATAATGATTCATTGTTATTTTGGTATACTTAATAATTAGAAATGTCTTAAATTATAATTTGATATCTTATCTCGAATTATTCAAATTATATTTCACTACTGTTAGAAACTGATCAGGGAGTAATATTTAAGAAATATAAAAGAATAAATTTTAATTAAAAATATAATGGATTAAGAATAAAAGTATCACTTTCATATTCCTTTTGTTAATAATTAATAAGAGAAAAAGGAGGATATAAAGCTTACAATTATAGGTTTGATTGATGTTTCAGCTTCAATGTATACCAGATGGGAATGGGTAGCTAATTTTTGGAATAAATCAATACCAAAAGATAATTTAATTACATTGACTTTTGATCATAGAGCAAAAAAGGTTTATAATAACATTCTATCTTAAAATATTGAGGATCATGGTGAAGGAACTACAGAAATAGTTCCTGCATTTGAACTTTTAGAGAAAGAAATAGTAATGGTTCCCTAAACTCATAATATTACTATAATATTCATTAGTGATGGTTAAGATAATAATGTAAAAACTATAGAATAAAGAATGTAATAAAAATTAAAGGGAAATGTTTAAAAAAGAAATATCAATTTTATTTGTTTGGGAATTGAAGATGAATTCCCTACATTTTTAGCAATGAAGTTAAGATAATTGTATCATAAAGGAGATCCTTAAATTCCTGCATTATATCTAATTGAACATGCATCTGAATAAGCTTTTTATAATAAATTTGAAATAATGAAAAGGTATTTTTATTCTACAAAAATGATACGTGTAAATAATGTTGTAAAGTTATTTCCATATGATGAAGAAGTTACAGATGAAGTATATGAAGGATAATGGGTTTATGGATAAAAACCTGACCTAAAGTTTATTGATTACCCTAATATTTAGATAATTCCAATAGAATAAAATAATCTTGAAATTGATGATGTGGTTGATCTCTTTAGATCATGGGTTCAAAATATATAAATTAGAATTATGGGAAAAAATGAAGATAGTAGAGAAAAAGCTAAGAAATGTTTATAAATTGTTAATTTAATTACAAATAGATTAACAGAATACTTTTAGATGGATGTATTGAATTTCAAAATGGAAGAAATTAATGATCCTAATTAACCTTTTAAAATTAGAGCAAAAAGAAATTATGCATATAAATATGGAAATAAATTATTATTTTTTGTGAAAGAATTAACATAATTATCAGAAGGATCTAATCCAAATGAAGTAGATGATTTTGAAGCAGCAAAAAGATTGAATATTGGTACTATTGTTGGAAAGCATCATTAAAAGGCTTTGGCATTGAAAGGTATTACAGTATAAGAATTTAAATAAATAAAAGTAGAATTTTAATAAATTATTTAAAATTGTAAAATTAATCCTTTAAATGAATAAGGTCAAGAAAGATCTGTAATATCATTAGAAAATTTTAGAGATATTCTCTCATAAAAATAAGATATTTTAGAAGGATTATAATTCATAAAAACTTAATATGATTTTGCTGAAACATTTCCTTTAATTGGTCATGGATTGAAAGTTAAGAGAAATGATGGATCTTTTGTTAATCCATGGTTAATTTAAGTTTAATCTTTTGCAAAGCATAATAAAGTTATAGATTCTGCCTATTTAATCAAAAATAATTTCAATATCTAATTGTAAATTGGTGATAATTAAACTGAAGAGATCAATTGTATATTACCATTATTTCCATAATCTGATAATGATCTATAAGCTGTTCTTAGATCAAGAATAATTAAGTTGTTATTAACATTTATGGTATAGTAAAATGTAGATACTCTTTATGAAGAAACTTATTTGGCATTGTTATCAAATTCATTAATAAATGTATTGAAAAAATAAAAATCATAATGGTAGACTGAAATAATTGAATAAATCTTTGAAACTACAAAGCTAGTTTATGCAGGAACATAAAGTTTTGAAAAGTATTTATAGAAGCTTATGAATAATCCCAATTAAGCTTATTTAGAAAAAGAAGCAGAATATGAAGATTATGTATCAACAGCAAAACCCTTCATTCATTTGTTTTATTTAGCTAAATTAGGTAATGTTTTGAAGGATTTTGAATTAGAAATAGAAAGATTAATTATTTATTATTTTATTAGAGAATAATACAAACATTAATAATAATTATCTTATTATCTTAAATTAAAATTAGAAAAATAAGATGAAAATTTTGTTTAAGAATAATTGAAGACAACTTTTGAAAAACATGTTAGCATCAAAAATTTTAGGAATGCAATTACAAAAGAAATTGAAGAAACAATATTAGATAAATATCAAAAGGATTCTACTATGATTGGTTTAAATGAGGACAAAGTTTTCAATTAAGATTTGAAGTTAACTTTAAGTTCTATTGAAGCCTTTTATGAATAATTTAAAGGTGTTAAATTTGATCAATAAAGATATGTTCATATCATTTATCACACACTTAGATTGTCAGAGAACGAGGTTTTCTTAAAAAAAGTTGATTATAATAACTTAAAAGAAATTTCAAAAGCTTTAATTTTAGAAAACAAAGTAAATTTAACTAAAGGAACATCAGGGATCAAACACGCTTTAGAAAAAGAATATTAAGTTTGGTTTATAAAAAATCATATGATGGTTCAACCATTAACATATGAGTAATTACAAATTGAATGTTAATAAAAAGGAATAAATGTAAATACTATAGCTTATAATGTAAAATCTGGATTAAGTAGTAATTGCTGTATGGCAAAGTAATGTCCATTTTATTTAATTGTTAATGGTTTAGATTATAAAAGACATGTTTAAACATGGGGGAAGAAGGTTCCTTAAGGTTTTCATTAATATGTAAGAGAAGAGATTTTGAAAGGATAAAGTATTTAATAAATTATTTAATCCTCAAGTCAAAAATGGAAGAAATTTCCTCAACTTTATTTAGGTAATGAAGAAGTAGTTCATTAATACATTAAATTGATTTCAGAGTCTTTACCCAAAGAATATTAAATATAGGAATTACCTAAAATATAATTATTGCATAATTAAGTTAAATTAACATTCCCAAAAAAATAGAAGGTTAAGAAATATGGAAATAAAAGAGGATAAAAAAGATAAAATTATAGAGGTAATGTAAGAGGTCGTGGAAGAGGCAGAGGTAGAGGTAGAGGAAATTGAGTTTGTATTTTTATAATTTTCTAAATTATTATTATATATTGTATACTANGCAGAATATGAAGATTATGTATCAACAGCAAAACCCTTCATTCATTTGTTTTATTTAGCTAAATTAGGTAATGTTTTGAAGGATTTTGAATTAGAAATAGAAAGATTAATTATTTATTATTTTATTAGAGAATAATACAAACATTAATAATAATTATCTTATTATCTTAAATTAAAATTAGAAAAATAAGATGAAAATTTTGTTTAAGAATAATTGAAGACAACTTTTGAAAAACATGTTAGCATCAAAAATTTTAGGAATGCAATTACAAAAGAAATTGAAGAAACAATATTAGATAAATATCAAAAGGATTCTACTATGATTGGTTTAAATGAGGACAAAGTTTTCAATTAAGATTTGAAGTTAACTTTAAGTTCTATTGAAGCCTTTTATGAATAATTTAAAGGTGTTAAATTTGATCAATAAAGATATGTTCATATCATTTATCACACACTTAGATTGTCAGAGAACGAGGTTTTCTTAAAAAAAGTTGATTATAATAACTTAAAAGAAATTTCAAAAGCTTTAATTTTAGAAAACAAAGTAAATTTAACTAAAGGAACATCAGGGATCAAACACGCTTTAGAAAAAGAATATTAAGTTTGGTTTATAAAAAATCATATGATGGTTCAACCATTAACATATGAGTAATTACAAATTGAATGTTAATAAAAAGGAATAAATGTAAATACTATAGCTTATAATGTAAAATCTGGATTAAGTAGTAATTGCTGTATGGCAAAGTAATGTCCATTTTATTTAATTGTTAATGGTTTAGATTATAAAAGACATGTTTAAACATGGGGGAAGAAGGTTCCTTAAGGTTTTCATTAATATGTAAGAGAAGAGATTTTGAAAGGATAAAGTATTTAATAAATTATTTAATCCTCAAGTCAAAAATGGAAGAAATTTCCTCAACTTTATTTAGGTAATGAAGAAGTAGTTCATTAATACATTAAATTGATTTCAGAGTCTTTACCCAAAGAATATTAAATATAGGAATTACCTAAAATATAATTATTGCATAATTAAGTTAAATTAACATTCCCAAAAAAATAGAAGGTTAAGAAATATGGAAATAAAAGAGGATAAAAAAGATAAAATTATAGAGGTAATGTAAGAGGTCGTGGAAGAGGCAGAGGTAGAGGTAGAGGAAATTGAGTTTGTATTTTTATAATTTTCTAAATTATTATTATATATTGTATACTATTTTAATACACTGTCATTTATGGAAATGTATTAGTATTGAAAATTATAAAAAAACAAAGTAGGTAATTCTTATTCGATTAAATTCTATAAAATAATGATATGGTTATTTAAATTAAAAGTTCAATTTTATTTTATCTATTATAGATTCAATTAAATAAGAAAAGAATATTTATATTTTATTAAGTTTATATATAATAAATGGAATATGTTGTAATTACTAATATAGATAATTATACATTATTCTAAGATTTTATAAAAAACCAAATTTTGAATATTTTTACAATAAATTTATAATTATGTAATATGATTAGGTTTAAGGAAATAAAAGTACAATTTATTTATCTTTGTTTGTAAATATTTTAGAGTTTTAGAGAGTATGATTCTGAATGTTTAATAAATGGATAATTAATAAAATAAGTAAAAATTATAGTTTCCTATGGAGGAACAAAGGAACTTTGGTATATGATGGATAGATGAATAGACAGAGAGAAAGATTTTCTGCATATGATCCAAAAATAAAACTCAAGTGAAAATTCATATTTGATTTTTAGGATTTCTATTTAAACAAGTAAAGATTTAGGATAAAAGAATACTATAGTTGAAACTTAATTTGTTAATGGAACTATAGAATATTGAAATAAATGAGTAAAATAAATAATTATTTATTTAAAATATGGCAACTTGGAGAGCATTAATGTCACCTTCTAGGAATGTGTCTCTATAAGAATCGAATTAGGAGTCTATAGATAATCGGATTCACACTCAACTTAAGGGAAGACATGCAAAAACTATTACATTGAGTACTAATATTTCACATCAGAAACCTACTACTAAAAGATTGCACTCCAAATCTATTGATATTGATAAAGCATTTATCTAATCATCATCAGATAATTTATTAGAAGTTATTAAATAATCTATTTATAGGTAATTAATGTAGTGGATGAATAATGTAATTGGGGTGAGATAAAAGAAATGTTAATTAACAATACAATTTAATTGCAAAAGTTATCCTAAGAAATTGATAAATTTGATTATAATTAAAGACAAATTAAAGCATTATAATAATAAATTTTGTTTTAAAGAAGGAAGTATAATTTATAAATTAATATGAAAATAAATGATTGCAATAAAAAGATGTAACAAATCTAATGCAAATTACAAACAAATTATTGATTATTAGTAATTATGTATTTATCCTTTATATTTCAATATTTGATTATAATTATATATTAAAAATTTTAGAGTATTCTATTTAATTAAAATAGAATGTTGTTTGAGTTTTTAATAAAAATATAAAAATTAGAATATTAATTAATTTATATAATAATGGAAACTTAAATCACATTAAAGATAAAAACCTTAGATAATCAAATCACTTCATTTTCTATTGATCCAAATAATACTGTTGATTAATTGAAAAAAGTAATTTAAAATAAACTAAACATACCTTTTGATAAGTAAAGACTGATCTTCTAAGGAAAAGTTTTAGAGAACAATAAAACTTTATAAGATTATAACGTATTTAGTAAATGAATCGATATAGTTATAAAATGATCATGTAGTTTTATTACCAGGATAGCCAATATAGGAAGTCTAGAATTAAACTCAATAATAATAATAATAATAATAATAATAGTAATAGTAATAATAAAGTGTAAATGAATTCCTTGAAATAGATATCTTAAGTAATATTCTAAGAACACTAAGTAAAATAAACTCTATATTTTAGGGCAGCATTAATTTAATAGATAGAATGTAAGAAGAATGGTACAATAATAAAGAAGCAATGGTAAGAACTTCAAAGATTTCATATAGGTTTTAATATTGATAAACAATTATCTTTAGAGGGTATAAGATAAAATTACTAAACTGTTAAATAGTTATTAGATACATAAGTGAAACCTGAAGAATTAAAATAAGAAGATATTTAAGGTATATATAATTTTGTTATATATATAGGTGAATATGTAAACCCATTTGATCCAAAGAAAAGAACATTTTAAGTTGGATAGTGGATTGATGTGAAAGATACGATTGATCAGTGGGTATTTATGTTGTTTTTATAATTTCTATTTAGCTTGAAGCATAAGTATAAATAGTTGAATAGAATAGAATTTTTATTCATTATAATGGATGGGGTAATAGATGGGATGAATGGATTGATATATAATCTCCTAGAATTGCTACTTTTCGAACTTATACTGTAGGTAGTATTAATTAAGACTTCTTATCTCCACATCCTGTTAGTGATCCTGATGGTGATGTAGTAAAGTAAGAAATTGATATGCATAAATTTATTTTTGATGTAGGACATATGATGAATTAAGTTACTTAATTATTAATAGAATTTGGAAGATTTGAAAATAATAAAAGAATTGCTGAAAAATAATTATAATTGTAATAATAATACTAATAAATGTTAATGAATAAAAATAAAGAAAGTAATCCTGAAGAATATAATCTTGAAATGAAAAAGAAAGAAAAAGAATTAAATGAATATGAAATTAAATCTAGTTTAATTGGTTCATAATTAGCACCTATTTTTGATAGAATGGGTCGAATGATGACAGATTTAGCTCCACATTTAGCTTTGATGGGATCTAAAACATAAAGAGTTAATAATAATAACTAATAATAATTACTTTTTTAGGTACCTGTTACTTTAACTCCAAATGAAATTTAATAGTCATAATAAAATGCTCCAACACTTCATAGTCGCTTAGATATAATTAGCAATAGACTCGCTATACTAAGAATGACAGAATTCATTCAATAAGAAGATAGTGATGATGATCATATTACTATCTGATTTTTATAAATAATTAATATAATTGTTTCAGTAATCTATGAGTTTAATCAACAAAGAGAAATACTACAAATTAATTTATAATCATTTTTACATATCATTTTTTCATTTTATGATATTCATCTATTAATAATAATTTTTCAAGTATTATTTTTGATTATATTTATATTTTAGTGATCAAATATTTAATAAGAATTTATTATTATATAATTAACTATTTATTTTTGATATCAGATTATTATATCAAAATTGTCAAAGTAATCATTTTTATATATATATATATATTTTTATTAGTATAATATTATGATTTCTTATAAAAATTTGAACAATATTAATGGAATCAACTCATCATTCATAATAATCAAATTCATCTTCAAATTATTTTTCATCATCTAAACAATCATCGAATCCCCAAATTCCTATTCCATTAGCTTTTGCTTCTATTTCACAATTTTTGAACTCTTTAAAAGGATTATATAAAACTCTATTATCTATTCTTCCTAATCTAAATAATTTTTATATTAAATATATATACCCTTATTCTAAAGCAATTTTATTAATTGTAAATTACAATTCATCTGGTTTATCTTATGGTTAAAGAGTTACAAATTATCTATTGGATGATTTCTCTGTATAAGCAACTTTAGAATTAAATTATTAATCAAGTAACAATTCTCTAAGTAAATCAGATGCCTCTTCTGCAAATTCATGTGATGATGGAGGAAATCTCAAATAAGCTAAAGAACATAATTTTGCCTATTAAGGAACATTTGTAAATTAAGCTGGTAATACTCCCATATCTTAATAATTGACTTCATCATTATTTCCATAATCTATAAATTTAATTAAAAATTTATCATTCTTAAATGCTTATAATACTTAAGCTCTGTAAATTCTATTATCTTCAGAAAATCTTGCTAAACATAAAGTTCCTTTCTTAACTGGTTTCTTAAGAGGCTAAAAATATATATATATAAATTTACAATCAATGCAGCATTTTCAATTTGAATTTCTAATTCTTCAAATTCAGGATTAATTTCTGTTCTAAGATAAAATTCATTGCAATCATTAACAGCAGTAACTATAACTTTTTAAATCTGTTAATTTTCATTTTTATATATATTTCCCTAATTACTTATTTATTTTTTTAAAGTTTATTTATTTTATGAAAAGTCTATTATGAATTAAGCATAAGATTCATTCCAAAATCCTTTTTTAAGTTTTTCTGCCTCTTTCTATGCCTCTTCATATTTACTATAATAATCAGTATTATTTTTGATAAATGTTAAACCTTCTTTCAGTAATTATATAGTAAAATCAGAATCTTTATTATTTTTCTTCTCATAAATTTTTCCATAAAACATATTCTCTAAAATATTAAAACTTTCAAAATTAATCCAAGCATTTCTTTACATTAAAATTTTATAACTAAACTATTATCTTTATTCTTCATATTTGATAACATTTGGAAAACTTGTAGCAAATTCTGATAATTTGGCTATTCCTTATATAGTAAAGTTAACCATTGAATGATACTTTAAAATAGTTATAACAAATTATCCATTAGGTAATATTTTATCTATTAATACTTCAAGTTAAGTATCATCTTTTATTGTAATACCAGTATTCATTGCTGATTATTTTAAACTTTATTTATCTCTCTAAATACTAGACCAAATTATTTCATTTACACTTTTTCCTTACTTTTAATCTGTTTAATCTTCAATTCTCCAAGTCAATTCTGAACTATATTATCCTATTTTCTTTTATTTAGCTAAAAGATTCATTTATTAAAATTGTTAATATTTAAATTTTGATAATTAAGGATGATTCTCTTTAGCTGTTGCCCATCCATTCACTATAAGTTCTTCTTCAATATCTAAATTATTATCACATAGTTGTATAGTTTATAATGGCATATTATCTCCTACTTATAGAATATGAACTTGTTTTCCTATTAATAATTTTCTTGCATATTCTTTAGCCTCTAATCCTTCAATGAAAATTCTATCTAATTTTATTGTTAATATTTCCTTATCTGTTTTTATTAAATATTAATTGGCCTCTATAATTTCAACGATTTATCCTATAATTTAAGAACTAACTGAATTGAGCATTCTTCTGTCTAATTCTCCATTCTTCCAAAGTCCTAAATTATTTTTTTTAGCTTCCTCTTAATTATAAAACAATAATTCAAAAGAATTTTGTGATAAATTTAATTTTCTAACATTTATAAATAAAAATACCCCCAATCAGTTATAAATGCATATCCATTTGAAATTAATGAAGAGTAAAATTCATTGTTTAATTCATTACTTTTTTAACTTGTAGGATATAAATCAGCTTTTAAAATTGGAAAATGAATGAAATTTTTTTAATAATTTACGGTCATAATTTAAGTTCCTTTAAAAGTGATATTAAACTCTTTATTAAGCCATTCTTTCTACATAAGTTTAGAGTATCCTTAATCTTAAATTGCAAATTCTTTTATAATATATAATGAATACCATCGATATAAATAGCACTAGGAATTAAACTAATTAATGTATCCTTATTATATAGGAAATTTAATATGTTTTCTTCAAAAGAGACTAGGATTGCATTTAATGATTTATTCCTATATTATTTAATGAAATCTAGAACGGGTTGTGTTTATTTTGGTTCCTCATTTTAAACCCCAATGAGTTTTAAATGAATTTCTGTTTCATCTGGAATATCTTCTTATAATTCTGCTCCATTAATTTGTAATTAGTTAGTTTTTGGGATGTACGATGCTTCCTTATTAATAAATTTAAATTATTGAAAGTATATATCTAGAGCCTTTTGATTAATATTTAATTTGTTTCTCATTAAAAAATTAGGAATTCCATTTCCAACTACGATTGTCTTTTATTATTATGTTTGTATTAAAAATTAATTGGGAGAAATCAAAGATAATATTTTGCATGGTTAGAGTGCCATCTAATATAATAATTAATAAAATTCTTTAATTATTTAAGTTTTGAAAAATTAAATAAAATTTTGATTCTTATAAAAAATAATGATGATGCATAACCTCAACCTTTTTTAAAAAAGATTATAATAATTGTATATATGTATAATTTTCATAATTTGCGATCACCATATTTTTAATTTTAAATTTCACCTTTCTTTTATTCTTTTTCTTTATACATTTCCATATATCTTAATTTTCTTTTCTTCTTTGTTTCTTCAATATTATGTTTAGCTCTCAAAAATTTATATGCAACATAAGCCAAATAAACACCTATAGACTTAAAATAATAAGAGATTGTCTTACTCTAAAAATAAAATATATTCCCATTATCAAAAACCATATATAATATAAAATATATTAAGATTAACAAGCATCTTCTGATTACATTGTATGTAATTCATAAACTTTTATCATCTAACATAATGTATCAATCAATTGATAACAATCTTTATTAAAAATATTATTACCTTTAGACTGTAAAATATATGGGAGCTATTTCTATCAAAACTATAATTATAGTCAATATTGTAAACTTAATTATTGATATTATTTAATACATATTAAAAGTATTAGTAATTGTTTCCTATTCTTATCATACAATTAATTAGAATTGTTATGCAAATTAATATGGTAAAAAATATAATTGGTAATTATTACTTGGTTGCACTAAATACCACATTAACTAAAATTATTTGGACAACTTCTAAAATCTAAATTTGAAATATAATATTTTTAATCTTACACACCAATAACTGTTATAAATTCTTGAATAGTTAAGACTTTTATGAACCTTTGGATTATAAGTAAAGAAAACAAGCAAATTATTCTTTATGAAACTAAATAATACATTTATTTATTATACTTTTTAAATGTTTATTCTTCTTAATCCTTTTAATCCATTTATTAATTAATATAATAAACAAAAAACTTAGAATTATTAAATCAATACAATTAAACAATCATTATTATTTTAATAACTATATCTATCCAGTAAATTAAAGATATCATAATAGAATGATGATTATATAAATTATAAACAATCATTCTAGTGTAAAATTTGTTATAATCATTGATTTATTTGGAAATTGACGGAACTATAAGTTTTTATCTGAACTTATAACTCTCCTTCTAAATTAATTACTTGATGATCGTTTAAGTTAATTAGACAACAGATTCACTGTTTTATATTATTAAATCAATGCTAATTCATTTAAACTTATCAAATTAAAGCTGCTGTCAATTTATTATGTACTATTTCTCTTCAGACTTATTGAACTTATCGGTCTTGAAATAGAAAACTTCCTAGATTTTATTTGTTCCATAGAATGTATAGCTGACCCTTCATTTTCTCTTCTTCCAATGAATAATTCACTCTTATTATTTAAATTTTTCTTTCTATTGTTTATTTGCTAATAATATTCATAGTAAAATCTTTTCATTTATATTATATATAATTGTAAATAAATAGTATTTCATTAATTTTTAAGTTCAAAAAAAAAATAATATATATTATTAAGCATTTTCAAGTTAATCATACTAGAATAATTTGAAAAAAGAAATTATTGTTCTATTATTAATTTATGCATATTATTTTATGTTGTGAAAGCTATATTCTAATAAGAGAATGAAATGTGTTAAACTAAGAGGAGATGCTGTTATTTTTTTAAATTATCTAATTATTATCTTAATTTTGTCATCGCATTATATACAAAAAACTCATAATTATTGATGTGTAGAGAAGATTATTTAATTTAATAAGAAATAAGGAATAAAAATTTTAATTTTAATTTTGATTATAATTATAAAAAAATGCTGAACAATTACATAGATTAAATATAAATAAATAAACGATTGAATTATCGCAAGATATATTATTCTATAGTTCAACTTAAGTTAGATGGATGATTAAATGAAAAAATATTAAACTAGTTATTTTATCTATTTCTCTATATTATTACTAATTTTAAATATTATAATGATTTTAAACAAGGATATTAGTCTTATGTAT